TCCCCCTAAACGACAATACCCCGCTAGAAAAAACCTGGGTTTAGTACTGGATCTATTCATTTGGAAGCTGGATTTTGGGGGTATTTAATATCAAGGGGATGGGACTGGTACTATTGCAACAAGGATGAGGGCCACTATGAGTGACTCAGAAAAGGTCCAGCAATAACGAATAGGTCTCTCACCATGGCACAACAGTGTCCATGGTGTTTCACCTACCATGGATATCCATGGGGTACAGTTCCGCTTATAAGTGGATATATAACCACAATGATAGGGGATATATCCTAACTTATGGTGGCTATAACAATAGAATAAGCCCAACTGCACCCCAGGCAACTCGGGCCACACGGTCCGCGCTACGGATCCGATTTTGCTGGTCCACGAAGAAGTTCTGCCCTATGCTTTGGAAGCTCTGGTCGCATTCCCACAAGTGCACCTGCGACTGAAACTCTGAAATTAGCCCAGAACAAAGACATACAAAGACCAAAGACTCAATCCTCATTTCTACTCTTTCTAGTGGGTAAATCCCCATGGTTTCTGTCTCAAATCACCCAAAATGCCAGGTTGAATCGCCAGTTTTGGATGGGAAAAAGCCTCCCGCCTTCACCCCATTCTCGATGCGGTTCCCATCACTGGACAAGCAAAAGTTGGCCAGGCTTGTCCACGCTAGGTGTACTGGGGATTCCTGCAGGGTCGAACTGGGGCGGAGGATAATTCAATGGACTTTCCCATAGATCTTCCCAACAATCCATCGAATAAGAACAATTCAATCTATTTGATTATTTTGAAAAATAAGAACTATGATCAGTCGAACGTTTACAAACCATAGAGTTTCCCATCAAATAGATAGGTTTCCTGCTTAAATTGTTCATTAAGGGAATAACAGGAGTCACGAGGACGAGGATGAGGATGGCAGTATGGCATGAAAAATTCTGCAATAGACCAGTCCATCTGCGAACTGGAATTCTTCACGACCCATACTATACTCAAGCCAACATAATACATCCAACACTCGCCTGTGTCACATCAGCCCTCCCTCCCTTCCAACATTTTAGATCGAAGCTGCTGAGTCCAATTGAAGTACCACAGCGGCCTATGGTACAAAACCAGGCCATGTGAACCCATCCCACATGGATTGGTTCCTGATGGTTGGATGGGTCACGAAATGGATGTGCTAAAGTTCACGTCTTTTGACCCACCCAATTTTGACCGTGTCAACCATCATTGGAACACCGATCATTAAGTCACATCCGAAGAGGACGAACTCGAACTGGTGGATTCGGAGGGAGAGCACTTGGGACACACGCGACATGCTATATCCGGTGGGAAAACTTCTCTGTACATGGTAATGTCTGGAGAAAGTGCAAATTTCCAGCCACATTTGGTTTTCCATGTAGCTGGCGACATGCTGAGATCTACAACTGTCTCACGCTTGACTCTTGACGCGTAGTTGAGAATGTGCCATGTCTCCAATTTCGACCTGCTGTCAAGAGCGGAAGCCATTCCTTCCAATACATGTGACAGATGACTGACGGTTCCGTCAAGTTCTCTCAACTTGTGATCATAGGACTTCAAATTCAGAAGTTGCTGTTCCTCTGATTCATCATGTTGGGCATGAACTCGGTGATTTATCTCTCGTGGGTTCTGATGTCCCGCTTCTTTGCAGGTAAGGCGGCTCGAGATGGTAGCCAAAGGGGTCTCAGCCAAGTATGTGAGAACCGCTGAAGATCCCCACCTTCCAAGAAGTTGGACCGTGATGGGGTCCAGTCCCCAAAGAGTGAGGGTTCGTGCGCCAGTGATTCTGAAGGTGTGACCTGATACAACCCACTCGCCGCTTGTCGACTTTGCAAGACCACCTGCAGCGTGCACAGCATGCCTGATTGTGTCGACAACAGCTTGTTTTGTGCAAAACCGCCCCTCGATTGTCCTGATAAGTGGCCCACCCAGTTGTCCCCTGTCAGAGAGTATCTTCACATATGCACTCAGCACATGTACTGGGCAAGGTCTACCAAGTGAGCAGAGGCACGACCATGTTCGGCGACACCCCTTCGCCATCCAGTCAGTCTTGGATACCGGAAGATTGAGTGTGACCGAATCATTCTGACTAAAGGATAAGTCTGACACGTCGATCGCTGAGAGCTCCAATTCCCTGAGCATGAAGTATACTCCCACAACCACCATGACTTGTGGGAATATGGGACCATTTTCAATCAACGGTTCTTCAACTCCCTCAAGGTGCTTCACAACGTCAAGGAAGTCAAATGGCTCAGACCGGGTGGGGCCACCCAATCCTCGCAGTACCGATCTGGTGCAACGAGATGCAACTCTTTGCAATGCATCCGTCCAGGGAAATCCAGAAGTGATGTGAAAATCCTTTGCCCTGCCCGGGTAATTTCTGTAGGACTTGTACCCCCCAGCTTTAAAGAGACAAGATACCGCAACCAGTACATTCTCAGTAAGTGGAACTGGTGGTCTGTGTCCACAAACCATCTGTTGTGAAATCTCAGCCAGGTCTGGAGCTGTGCGTCCCTGGTGTGTCTGGTGGATGCAGCGAAATAATCGTCGGTGAATCTGTCCAAAGCAGCTTGTCTGGATTCCAGATCATCAGTGATATCACGAGGAACGCGAGGCCCATGGCAACTAGGAGGTGATCTTAAGAGAGGCATATCTTTTCTCCTCATCGTTTGCCGACTAACCGAGTCCGACCCCGCTAGGAAGGATGTCTCACAATCTTCCTTGGTTTCGACCCGCCCTGTGTTACCAGCCGCCGGACGGGTCACAACACCTTGTGAGGAAGATGAAACATGTGTCCGCTTGGAGGCACGTTCAAGCAGCCATCCTTCAAAGTCAGGGGGAAGCCGTGCTAGGAATTGGGGCTTTGGTCCTCTCCTATTTCTCTTCATGAGGGGAGATATACCTTTGAGCCTAAGGTAAGGTTCAAGTTGCACAACAGCGTGAACATCCGGCGAAACTGAGTGAACATCCAGCAACTCATGTCAATCTGAAGCCTAGCCTAGGCCTAAAGAAGAAACAACACGAAGCAGCAGTTGACATGAAGCACTCTCACTTAACCCTACAAAAAGGGTTTCACGGCTTAAGCACCCTCAGGTGAGGGTTTCTGCACCCTCGTAAGAGGGTGCCCTGTGATTGTTATGCTTGCTTGTGTCAAAGTGAGATCACTGAAGAGAAAAGAAGAAAACCGTCATCTCATTCGCGATCCTATTTTGTTCCAAGCATCATGCAATTCAGTTACTCAACCCTAACTCTCTTGTTGAGTGTCTGGGGAGAAAACAAGGTGACTGGATCCACCCTCTTTGTCGCAGCTGGTTCCACCGGTGGATCCCAAGTTCTGGCAGCTCTCCACCACGATTTGGGACGTGGAGGTGGCTCAACGAGCTCGGCATTGGCAAGTTCGGCTGGCAATGTGTATAGTCGACGAGACAACATGTCGTTGAGTTGGTTTGCCATATGAGGTACATGTTGCACAAGGTCAGGTCGATATTCTGCCTGACCCAAATCCAGAGAGAATTCTCTGGATATCTTCAACAATGCCTTAGACTTGGCTCGGAGCATCCCAAACACTGTGAGAGCTGCCATGTTGTCGCTCCTAACACAGAGTCTGGCCCTTTGTCCCATCCAATGTCCTTGCCAAAGACGCAGAGCTATGAGCCCGCACAATGCTTCCCATGCCTGTTGTCCATGAGAAGTGCCCGCCTTGACTTCCAAGTGGTCTTGGTCCTCTTGACTGATGGGAATGGTGAAGTACTCCTTGAAGACCCCATTAACTTCTAAGGTGGCACCCATGCCATATGGGCTGGCGTCCCAGGTGATGCGGACTTGAGGTCCGAGTCTGAGGTAGTGCGCAAGACTGTACTTGCGAATGATGCCTCCCTGTTCTCCAGCCAAGAAACATAGTAGCCACTGCAGTGAATGATAGATCTGCTTCACCCACACGCATCCAGGAGGTGCTCTAGTATTTGTCTCATATAGCGCAGCATACAGTTCTTGCACAAAAGGTCGCCACACGTAGATCACTGTGGCAATTGACATCACCTTGCCAATGAGCGTTCTCAATGACTTGATAGCTATCACGTTGCTCGCAAGCGCTGGCCCAAGCAAAACAACTTGATACCAATCCACGTAGTTTCATGGGCTAGGACAGCCTTGTGATATGCTATGGGAACGCCAAGCAGCATCCAACCAATGGAGATGATTGCTGCCAGCCTCCGCCATCGTGTGTCGGTTCCCACCAAGATTGCCAGCGGATCATCAACATAGACTTGCATGAGGGCTTCAGGTACCTGTCTCCAGGTGTCAAGAGGTCCCATGACCAGAGATTGTATGAATCTGGACATGACCGCCATAAGTACCCCAAAGGTGAGTGGCGCTGCCCTGGACCCTTGAGCAGTTCGATTGAAGACATAGTAGGAACCCCCAAGCATAGCGACGAAATACTTTCGTTCACTAGGGTGCAATGGCACCAGCCAGAAGGCATCAGAAACATCTGCGATGAAGAGCTCAGTCTTCTCATCGTTGATTGCATACGATAGGAGTTTCAGTGCACTAGCTATTGCATCAGTGATCCGAGGAAGAACCACCTTGTACTTGCGGTCCGCTGCCTTGGAGACTCCTGAACGCTTGCAATCCAAAATGATGCGCACCTTTGTGGTGTGCGCTCCAGTGTCAGGATTGCACTTCTCTTTGGTGATGCAGCCTAGTTTCGACAAGATCGGGTCAGATCCTACCAACTCCCTGACCTCTTCTAGTGTGTCACACTTGTCAAGGTAGCCCTTCTTGAAGTATCCACGGATTGCATCATGGCATGTTGGTTATCTTCAACACCTTGGTAGTTTTCAAAGCCATCATAGTCCGTGAAGAGATCGTCCGGCATCAGGTCTACTTCTTCCTGATCCACTGCAGGGCAGACTCCATCAAGTTCTGGCTGCAAAGCAATCGATGCAGGTGCTCCCTGATAGAGACACTTGATGATCTTCTTCGCTGGGTCATCAACTAAGTTAGCCCAGTACTCAAGAAGATGAGCTCCGATGACCGTCCTGCAGTTCTTGTTGGCTACTTCCTCCGTCAAGCATACCTCTGGCATATCCTGCGGTCTGTTCCTCTGCAAAAGCGACGCCACTTCGTGTCGTAGCCTGTCAACCTTGTCTTTGACTTGAGGCTGATCATGAATCTGCCTTCCGAAGTTGTCTACCAAGTTGTCCTCCATCTCTGGATATCTGTCAAGATATCTTTCAATCAAATTTGAGATCTGCTTCCCAATCAGAGATGATTTGTCTCCAACCGATGCAAAGACATTTCTAAGGCTGTTCCTTTCATCCGCTCTGTTGTCTATGGCACGTTGTCTGAGATGTATGGCCTGTGTTACTGCTTCTTCGGGGTGTCTAGGTTCTGGTCCATCTTGAGTGCTACCGTGCTACCCGGATGTGGGCGGCTCTGGTGTTGCAAGCAAGACTCGACCAATGACAGTGCAAGTTTACGATTCAGCTGCGCGGGGTAAGCTGCATGGGCCTTTGTGACATAGGGCCCTGTTGGTTCATACTGTCTCAACATGGATGAATTCCAGTCCCTAGCTTTGATGGCCCTTTGCCTACCCCTCAATGGTGCATGCGGCAGAAAATACCTTCTTCCATTCCATGGCACTATCCAAATTTGCGGCTCATGATTGCATGTCAAAACCATGTGATCTAGATCTTGATTGGACATAAGATCAGTAAGCTTTTCTGCGTCTGAACCAAACCTACACTGTGCAAATGTGAAAATTCTAACCCCGTTCTCCTGAAGCAGCTGCTGGAATTCATCCAGCCGAAACATAGAAGTGCCATCTTCACGCATGTGAGGTTGCTCCAGGATCCATGGCTTGTTGGAGCGCTGCGCATGGCTAGCTACTGCGTGCCCTCTCAATGCTAGGAGGGTACCGATTCTTACTTTATGTTTATCCTCGGGATTTAGGTTACCTAAACCATACCTACCAGGTCCCTCAACCGACCTCAACTTTCCCGGCCCCCCATCCTCATCATTGCGAGCTGCAGTGAAGGTGCTGCAAGGCGGGCTGATGAGGTAGGCGTCGAAGTCGTCCAACCTGGCTGACAAATGATCCCAAAAGGATTGTGAAGTAAGATCATGGTCTGGGTTGAATTCAATGTCAATCTGTTCACACTGTGAACCCAGCTGCTGACAAAATTTTTCAAAGCCGTCTGAAGGTCTGTACGGTCCTCCAAACAGGTACAGGATCTTAAAGTTCCCGACTTGCTTCCGTGTTCCAGAAGTCTCTGCATGTTCCGAATTCGAACCCGCCGTGTTGTCGCCGGTTCCCATGCAGTCTGGGGTACCATCCATGCTGTCGTCCACTGCTAGCTGTCAGTATTGTGCACCCTGACGCTTGCCCTTGCCCTTCTTTCCTTTGACTTGCCTTTGCCTCCACCGCCATCCCGATTCTTCACGAAATTCGGTTGCGGCATGGCATCATGAGGGCACTTTGCTGCCGGATGCGAACCCAAGCAGCGATTGCACTGGTGGACTTTATTCCACTGGACGCCACACCAACCATTGTTTCCAGTGCTGCACTGTCCAGTGTTGAACTCATCACACAGAGGGTGGCCAGTTCTGTTCACCACGTACTTGCCATTCTCGACCTGGTGGTGCCTGCCTCCTCTGCTGTCTTTGCGAGGTCGGATCTTTGTTTCTCCAAGTGCGGCCGGAGGTGGTTGTACTTGTCGAGGACCGCTTCTCCCTTTATGGGAGCATCTCCAGTGACCTGCTCGTTCAAACCCGAGATCTTGGTGAGGACCATGACACCAGGCTCGACCACTTCCTCACGCCAGAATGCATCATCCTGGACCGCCCGCTGGAACACCAAGTTCCAGGGCCTGGCCGGATCGTAGCCCGGCACCTTCGGCGGGTCGCCTGTTCCACCGTTTGCCACATGCTCTTTCCTGAGCATCTCTTGCTCGGTGGCGATCTGTCGTCTGATGCGCTCGAAGGCTTCCAAGCGGCATCTGACATCCGCCTGGTAGAGCAGGGCCCAAATCCTCTCGCCATACCTTTGGTGAATCTTTTCAATCCTCTCTCTGTACTTGAGCATCACACCAAGGTCAGCCTGGTCGAGCATGAGCATCGCATTGGTGTACACCTGGAAGGATGAAAGCCACATGTCATAGTTCGATGGCCCTGCCAACTCCACCAGCTGTAATTTGCCATCCCGGCCAAGGCTGTAGCCGGAGAGTTTGATCTTCTTGACCAACCTGTGCATGTAGGGCCCCCACACTGAGAAATCGACGTATGGTGTGGATCCTCCATCTATCAGATGCTTCAAGGCCGACACCTGCTCAACCGAAGGCTCCGACTCCTTTGGAGGCCTTTCGTTTCCTCCATAGACAGTGGCATATCGCATGTAGCCAGTGACCATATCCGCTTCTGACATGATGCCAATCTCTGACTCGTCCACATGCGAAAGCACTGCATTGAGCTTGATTCTTCTTGTTGCCGCTGCTGAAACCGGCGCTGCAGGTGCCGTCACCGGTGTTGCGGGTGCCGGTGCTGGCTCTGCTCCAACCACCAATCTGCAGCACCTGCCCAACAACCGTGCCATGCCCAACTGTGCTAGTGTCGGCGGCTGCCTGGTTGGTGGGTCTCCTGCATTGGGTCCCGGTGTTGCAACCTGCCATGTCTGAATCACTGCTTCATAGTCTGGTGCCGGTGTCCAACCCAGTGTGCGGGGATGCATGGCGGCACGTATCCCAAGCACTGCGGCCAAAGATCCTTCTGTTGTGTTTTGGTCGTCGATGGAGTCATGTGGCAGTCCAACCCAGGTGAAGACATCTGTGAAGGTGTTGAAGCCCTGGATCTCGGCTGGCGTTGGGTCACCCATGGATGGTGACGGTGGCTCCTGAAGGTAGCTTCAGTATTTCCTTTCTTTTCTTTCTGTTCTTACCCACCAGACAGTGGGTTGCGCAAACCACCACAGCCAATACCGCTATCCCGAGGATATCAAACGTATCTGATTCGGTGCCCACCTCAAATTTCGAGATGGGTACCAAAGGACATTTACTGCCCTCTTACCACCCAATTTGACACAGTCGGCAGTGTCAAAATTGGGGGTCGATCCTTAAGCCAAAATTGGCATAAGAGAGGATCAACCCACCCACCCTCCAGGCGACAACACTCATGTGTTACTTCGACATGAATGTCTTTCCAAATAATGGCCACAATGAGAATCCAACCAACAACCTACAGTAACAAAACACTCCACTGGTAGTTTCTACTCCCCTTAGAACTACTAGTCAGATGGAAGTATCATCACAAATAGAATTAAAAACCATCTTTTAAACCACCAACATCCAAGTGATAGTTAATGTGAGTTATATACGGTTCACATTCCCACATTTCTCCATGAAATCCCCATGAAACCAGCTGCCATCTCCTTGGCAGTTCTGCCGAGGCCGCGCAGCGTGCTGTTCTCTGCTGTGGCGAGGGCCAGAGATGCAGCCAACAAGAGTCCAACTGGGGCGGGGCTGACGAATTTTCCATCAAGGGAAAACGAACCGAAAGAATGGCAGGAGAAAATCTCAACAGAAAATCATCAATCCCTGGAAGTCCTGTGTCGATTCATCGGTTATTTCGGCACTTTTTTTGTAGCATCTGGGATTTCATCGAGATGTAAGGGGGTTAACCACAATAAGGAGTCGTCGAACCGTCTAACCGGCAGGGTGCTGGTGGATGCGGGGACCCAGCAGATTTTCGGCCAGCAACTTGCGACGGCTGTAACTTGAGGGAGTCCCGAGTTTCTATCTTCATTGATCCATGTCTTCCCCCCAGAAAGGATATATTGGAACAGTTGTTTCACAACGGGGCTTTTTCTGAAAATCCCAATTTTTGATGATTTATCATCATTCTCCCATTGAAATCACCACTTTTTTGATATCCCAGTTAATTCTTGGACTAGCCAACTAAGTCCTGGAGTTTGGGGACGCCACACCCACTCACCACAGCACACTGCCTGCCATAGGATCAAGGCTTTAGAACAACCGGGGGTCGGAGCCCGCAAAAAAAAAGCTGCGGCAGCTGATTCAGTGCTGATCATTCTGGACCTGGTCGAGTCGCCAAGCAATTCCCAAATTTTGCAAATGATCATCCCAATTCCGCATTGTAAAGACGTAAACCGCCATTGGCACCCCAATTGGACTTCATGATTGGGTCCTTTTTGGTGCCAAAGGGGATGATACCCATAAGCCCCAAAATGCTGGGAAAGTGTGTTCATGTGTGTTCTATCTATAAGAGTCATTTGGGGGGAACAGATATCTGTGAGGTGACCGACCAATCACTCCAATCGGGTGACTGAGCAACTCTTCATGGCGTGGGATTGACCAATTGAATTACACCGTTTTCCCAGGGTTTATCCATTGGGAAAAAGTGAAAAAATACGAATCTATTGATCTATTGTCCATCCACTTTGGTAGATTTCAGGAGGCCTCAAGCATCAACATCTCCCGGCAACCAAGGTTCCTTGAGCCTTTTTCCACACAAGGCTTTGCTTGGCTCGGAGGGACGCGCCGACCGATTGTTTGGAACTCCCCCTTTTTTTGGGACTCACAGGCCGTTTCCAACTTGTGGCCCTTGCGGCTTCGAAACATCACCAATTTCAAACATCTTCAAAATACAATTGGTTAAAATTTACTGTATATTAGTCTTCCCTATGAAAACTGCTCTTTCGCCCCATTTTCAGACAAAGCCATTTCATGTTGTGCCTTAGAGGCCCAATTTGCAGCTGCTTTCGGAATCCTCCAACTCCATCTGGATCACCGTGGGTTTCCGGCTCCGAGGATCTGTTGAATGCATCACGTGGTCCAAGCCCAGCACTTCGTCCCGAGGATCCACGCGGAGCCCCGCACGGACCGAGCGGAAGTCGCAACGGCGACTGAAGGCCATGCCCAGCAGGTAGAAAAAAGGCAGCATGGTGACCTCAACTTGGAGTGGAATAGAACCATGAGAAATCAGCCACGAATCCCTTCCCTTTCTTTTTTTATGAAACATCCCCAAATCATGGGTTTTTCGCAGGGGACTTTGACATGGTAGGACCATTTACAGGGTGTTTTATATTGTTGGAAGATCCCAACTATGGCTTATGATGGCTGTCTAGTAGATTTTGCGTTTGGAAAAACTTATCTTTACTGTCGGCCACTGCGGCACTAAGCCGCCAGGGTTTGTCCAAGAGGCTAAACTTCTTTTACCATTCCATTCACTGGTTGCGGGGGTAAATCACCCCCTTCTTCATCAACCAAAAAGCGTAACAAGAATGAACCATGGTAAACCAGAAGAATATAGCAACTCACAAATTGGTGTGAGCAAAATATACCGATTTCTTCTCCAGATAGCAAAGCTGTTTGGGTTCTTACTTCAAGTATACGAAGAGTTGCATGTTGGGGTCTTGGAACTTGGTTCCAGGTGCTGCAGGGTGCCGCGGTGGAGCTTGGGCACGGGTGCTGCAAGGGGTTGCTGTGAAATGTCGCAGTGTGGGCGTAGGGGCCTGGAGATTACGGTATCCCAAATCTTTGGCTATCTAGATATCTGCGGTCGCTGGCAGATTTTTTTGGTCAACTAAATCATCGCTGGGTCACCAGCGACCAACCAATAATCGAAACTGCCAACAGCATCTGCACCCCCAGCAAGCGCGCAGAGCCGCCGCAGAAGAGCCCATTGGCCACCTGTGAACAGAAAATCCCCAAGTAGGGTAGTGGCCCATCCACAATAATGAAAAGCTGAAAATTCGACATTTCTATGGTTTAATGACGCGAATCATGGGAGTCACCATAATTGATAATTCTCATCAATATCCCATTATAATGATTATCCCATTATTCTCCAATTGTTATCCCAACCATAATGATTCACCAATGGTTTAATAATGGGATATTGATGGGATAATTAATTTGATACTGGATTTACCATCCGGACAGCTGGGAAATCACCGAAGTCGATGGAGGTTTTAATGAGAAAATCATCGAACTAATTGGTGGATTGTCCATTGACACGTTTGACTATCGTAGGGGACTTTCACGGATGGTGAAGCCTCAGAAAACGGGGTCATTGAGTCACACAACCAATGACACAATGAAGTATTGATGCTTTACTGTTTAGAGCTGAACATAAAAGTCATGTTGTGGGTGAAATCACGTAAAATATCCATGAAGCCCGTTCACTTGTGTGACATTAAACATGGAGATATCACCATATATATATACATTTATATATATATATATATTATATATATAGGTAGTTGACCAAAAATCATTGCTAGTTAAACCTCTACTAAATTCAGTTATTCAGTTATTCAGTTATACACCCAGCATGCCATATACCAAACCGAAAAAACAATCTTTGTAGGGATGGATGAAAAAACTGGGGCTGGTTTACTATTGCTTTACTAATCCTGGAATTCACTGGTAAAGACTATCATGGTTTAAAAAAGAGGGGAAGAAAAAAACTGAATTATATATATATATTCTATGATAGTTCACTTGAAGGCTCATCCCATAAATCCTAAGTAGGTTCTATCCCTGCTTTTTTCAGTGGGATAAGAAAGCTTAGACCATCTTAAACCACTAGTCCATTAGGCTGAACTAACCCAGGATATAAGTGGGATGATATAACTAGGGCCACTAGGGTCATAACGTGGGATGATATAACTAGGCTTATAACATGTTAGAACCTACTTGGACCATCTTAGACCCCTAGATCTAAACTGGTGATAACTTTTGTAATCTACGTACCCTCTGGTAATTTAACAGTTTGCTATGGAAGCCATGGCCCATAGAAATAGTTGATTTACCCAGCTTAAAATTAGTGGTTTTCCATATAAATCACAATTTTCCCATGGTTTTCCCATGGTTTTCCCATGGTTTTCCCATGGTTTTCCCATTAAAAATGCGGGTTTTCCATGGCAAAATCTTCAATTCGAGGCAAAAAATCGCCCCCCGAGGCCTGAATCCCCGGCAGCTCGCCATCCGCAAAAAGCCCCACCGCGGCCAGGCCCCAAAGCGCTGAGGCCCCATGGACGCCCACGGCGCCCACGGGGTCGTCCAAATGGCAGCGGAGGATCCTGGGCCACGGCAGGGGATGATTCAAAAATGGCCATGGCGACGGATTTGATGATGTTAAAATGATGTTAAAATATGGCTTCTCTATGTGAGTTTCTGAAGTCATGAAATATCTATATATATATATACATACATATAGAGATTGATGGGATTTCACTGGTTTAGTGGAAATTGGAGATTTCATCTGCTGGAAACATTTTGGGGAAGATTACAATGACTCAACCAACGAAAAACGATGATCATCAACCTCCCCTTCACTTCTCTACTCCCTTCACTTTCCTACTCTGCACTTCTCGATTGCTTTCAATTCCTTCGACTGTCAACTCCACTCACTTGTGCTTTGGGGTGGGGTGGGGTCGGGTAATAACGTTCACTCGGACTTCATACGGGTTGGTTGCTGGGGTGGGGGTGGGGTGGAGCAATGACGTTCACTGGGAATTCACACGGGTTTGTGGCTTCCATAGATTTCATTCGACTTGACACTGAATTCATATTCTTTTGACTTCCTACCTATCTTCACCTTCTTTACTCTTTTCACTTATATAACTGTCACCTCTTCATTTCTCTGCTCCTTTCACTTTCCTACTCTTCACTACTGGTCATGATGTTGCTGAGGAGAGTGATGACCATGTTGATGATTAAAACACATAGAAGTTGGCAGTGGCAGTGGCAGTGGCAGTGGCAGTGGTGATGATGATGATGATGATGAGGATGACGATGACGATGACGATGGCGATGGCGATGATGATGATGATGATGGTGATGACATGGATGATCACCATGTCATCACCATCATCATCATCATCATCGCCATCGCCATCGTCATCGTCATCGTCATCCTCATCATCATCACCATCACCATCATCATCATCATCATCATCATCATCGTCATCATCATGATTATAATGATCATAATGTGATGATGCGGATTATTATGATGTTTCGAGACAGTCACAAGCGAGCAGATTCGACAGTTACAAGCGAGCGGATCCGACAGTCACGGGAGACTCACCGCCCAATGGTAAATCCCATGTCATCCTCATTATTGCTGAGTATGTCCCAAGTCCCACATGGTAAAACCATGCCATAAACCATCCCCCAGTCATCACCATTTTTATAGGTGGTATGGTTACCATTCCCAGGAAAATGGGTGGTTAAAATGGCAGCCAGTTTTAACCACAGTAATTTAGATGCTAAATGACGAGAAAAACGTGAAAAAACCTGGGGCAATTGGACTCGCAAGCATCAGCTCGTTGGACGCCAGAGCCGCGAGGGATCCGATGAAGCCGATGATTAGGGCTGCGTAGGTATGAACCGAAGCGCAGGTGGCAGTGATGGCAACTAAGGCACCTCCGATGCAAAAACTGGTGGATGTCTAGTGCTAAAACTGGTGGACTTCACCAAAAACTGGGCTACTCACAGCTACAAAGATAGGGTTGGTGGTAAAAAAAACACAAGTTCAACCACTAAATATGGTGATTTACATGGTCAAAACATGTGGTGATAACCACTGAACATCAGGATTCAACATGTGTTCACCATGAGAGTGGAACTCCAGCAACACGCCGGGCACCTCAACCTACAATGCCACGTCTTTGGAGGTTTGAAAGTTTCAACTGTGCAAACACATTACCCACCAGCTGAGCTGAAAAATTCTTGGGAGTAGTCCCGTCCCTCCAATGAAACAAACACCAGCCCCAAACCCTGAGTACTATAGAGGTGTCATTCTGTTTGGGGATGAAATTACTTGTCAGAAACGCTGTGTTCCAAGTTTGACATGTTGAAAATACCCTCCGGTGATTCAACATAGCTATGGAAAATTGCACAATTGTGGATGGTTTACCTACTAGAAATGGTGATTATAGCAATGTCAAAATACCAAACGATAAATTTTCAAAATAAAATGTGTCAACATGATTGTTTGGAATCAGAGTCCCAACATGTTGGTACGTTCAAAAATTGATCGCGCACGCCTAGCATGCCATTGGCGATCTCGTGTGGAAACACCACGGCTCCTCTGGAGGTGACAGTGGTATACAACAGGGCAGCCAAACCGCCACCTGCAGCCACCAGTGTCCAGGGGTTGCAGGAAAAAATGCGACACTTCCAGCGTTGAGCTTCAGGGGTGTTTTTTGAAGTTCAGCACCTTTTTTTGACCGGGAACAATGTTGATCAGTCAATATGATGAACCATTGAAATTGAACCTGGTTCCACTTACTTTGTCATTCTTTCTGGATCGATAAGGACGACGCAGCTGATTCCTGGAGAATTGCTGCTGATTCTTGTTGATCATATCCCACATAGAATCGTTCCCGGAAAGTTTGGGCGCCATGGTTTTCTACAACACAACTGTTGTTTAATCCATCATGTGTGTTAGTTAAATCCAACTGTTTATCGGGTGAAAATCTCCGCTTTTGGTGTTTCCCATTGATCCTGAGTGTTCATCCTCATCATTCTATACCCGGCCCGTTGAATCCCTTCTCTATATCCCCATTATATCATATCTCCATGATATCCTATTGTGCTTGGTTGTTGTGACCCAATATTCTGTTGTTTACCCATTTATCATCACTTCCCCGAGCAAATTCTCCAGTTTGTGCTAAATCTCAGCTAGCAATGACATGTTGTTGCTTAAATCCCCTTTTTTCCTTTTGAATTATATATATATATTTATATTTATTTATTTATTTATATATATTTATATATATATATTTATATGTATATATATTTATATATGTATTTAAATCCGCCGACCCCGGCAGACGCAAGGGGGAGCGCGCCAGGGAATAAGACACTGTTCCGTCCTTCAGGGCCACTATGTTTCCCCGTCCGGCAGGGTGCGTTTTCAGCTTCGGGAGGAAGAGCAGCAGCAGCAACAGGAGCAGCAGGAGGGTTCTATTTCTCATTTTACAAACAGTGGTACAAAAACTGGTTGAAAACTATCACCAGCAGCAGCAGCAGAAGCTGCAGTACAGTGTTTCGGTGTGGCGAAGGGTGTGTTTCGGAGGCTTGCAGCACCTGCTCCAGCAGCACCAGCAGCAGGAGCAGCAGTAGCAGCTGTTATGTTCCCATCCGAGGACCAACAGCAGCAGCAGCAAAAGCATCTGCAGCAGCAGGCGCTTTGTTTCTATTATTGTTTTTACCAGAATCCAGAAGAGACGTCAAGCCTCGGGACAGCATGTTTTTGGAGGTCGTTCCGTCCTTCTTCTTTTCTATGGGTTTCAGAAGTTACGTTCGGCATTCGGAGGAAGAGTAGCAGCAACAGGAGCAGCAGGAGGGTTCTATGGTTTTGAGCCTCCGGAGGAAGAGCAGCAGCAACAACAGGAGCAACAGGAGGGTTCTATGTCTCATTGTACAAACAGTGGTATAAAAATTGGTCGAAAACTATAAAACCTTGTCCAAAACTATTGTTTTTCTAGGGTTTCAGAAGGGACGTTAGGCACTTTTTGGGCTCGATTTTGGCGCTGTTCCGTCCTTCAGGGCCACTGTGTTTCCCCGTCCGGGAGGGTGCGTTTTCAGCCTCGGGAGGAAGAGCAGCAGCAGCAGCAACAGGAGCAACAGGAGGGTTCTATGTCTCATTGTACAAACAGTGGTATAAAAATTGGTTGAAAACTATAAAAACTTGTCCAAAACTATTGTTTTTCTAGGGTTTCAGAAGGGACGTTAGGCACTTTTTGGGCTCGATTTTGGCGCTGTTCCATCCTTCAGGGCCACTGTGTTTCCCCGTCCGGGAGGGTGCGTTTTCAGCCTCGGGAGGAAGAGCAGCAGCAGCAACAGGAGCAACAGGAGGGTTCTATGTTTCATTGTACAAACAGTGGTATAAAAATTGGTCGAAAACTATAAAACCTTGTCTAAAACTATTGTTTTTCTAGGGTTTCAGAAGGGACCTTAGGCACTTTTTGGGCTCGATTTTGGCGCTGTTCCGTCCTTCAGGGCCACTGTGTTTCCCCGTCCGGGAGGGTGCGTTTTCAGCTTCGGGAGGAAGAGCAGCAGCAGCAACAGGAGGGTTCTATGTCTCATTGTACAAACAGTGGTATAAAAATTGGTTGAAAACTATGTACAAACAGTGGTATAAAAATTCGTTGAAAACTATAAAACCTTGTCCAAAACTATTGTTTTTCTAGGGTTTCAGAAGGGACGTTAGGCACTTTTTGGGCTCGATTTTGGCGCTGTTCCGTCCTTCAGGGCCGCTGTGTTTCCCCGTCCGGGAGGGTGCGTTTTCAGCCTCGGGAGGAAGAGCAGCAGCAGCAACAGGAGCAACAGGAGGGTTGTATGTCTCATTGTACAAACAGTGGTATTAAAAAAAAATAAAAAAAATTGGTTGAAAACCATAAAACCTTGTCCAAAACTATTGTTTTTCTAGGGTTTCAGAAGGGGCGTTAGGGCACTTTTTGGGCTCGATTTTGGCGCTGTTCCGTCCTTCAGGGCCACTGTGTTTCCCTGTCCGGGAGGGTGCGTTTTCAGCCTCGGGAGGAAGAGCAGCAGCAGCAACAGGAGCAACAGGATGGTTCTATGTCTCATTGTACAAACAGTGGTATAAAAATTGGTCGAAAACCATAAAACCTTGTCCAAAACTATTGTTTTTCTAGGGTTTCAGAAGGGACGTTAGGCACTTTTTGGGCTCGATTTTGGCGCTGTTCCGTCCTTCAGGGCCACTGTGTTTCCCCGTCCGGGAGGGTGCGTTTTCAGCCTCGGGAGGAAGAGCAGCAGCAGCAGCAACAGGAGCAACAGGAGGGTTCTATGTCTCATTGTACAAACAGTGGTATAAAAATTGGTTGAAAACTATAAAAACCTTGTCCAAAACTATTGTTTTTCTAGGGTTTCAGAAGGGACGTTAGGCACTTTTTGGGCTCGATTTTGGCGCTGTTCCATCCTTCAGGGCCACTGTGTTTCCCCGTCCGGGAGGGTGCGTTTTCAGCCTCGGGAGGAAGAGCAGCAGCAGCAACAGGAGCAACAGGAGGGTTCTATGTCTCATTGTACAAACAGTGGTATAAAAATTGGTCGAAAACTATAAAACCTTGTCCAAAACTATTGTTTTTCTAGGGTTTCAGAAGGGACCTTAGGCACTTTTTGGGCTCGATTTTGGCGCTGTTCCGTCCTTCAGGGCCACTGTGTTTCCCCGTCCGGGAGGGTGCGTTTTCAGCTTCGGGAGGAAGAGCAGCAGCAGCAACAGGAGCAACAGGAGGGTTCTATGTCTCATTGTACAAACAGTGGTATAAAAATTGGTCGAAAACTATAAAACCTTGTCCAAAACTATATTGTTTTTCTAGGGTTTCAGAATTGTTTTTCTAGGGTTTCAGAAGGGACGTTAGGCACTTTTTGGGCTCGATTTTGGCGCTGTTCCGTCCTTCAGGGCCGCTGTGTTTCCCCGTCCGGGAGGGTGCGTTTTCAGCCTCGGGAGGAAGAGCAGCAGCAGCAACAGGAGCAACAGGAGGGTTCTATGTCTCATTGTACAAACAGTGGTATAAAAATTGGTTGAAAACTATAAAAAAAAAGGAGGGTTCTATGTCTCATTGTACAAACAGTGGTATAAAAATTTGTCGAAAACTATAAAACTATAAAAAACCTTGTCCAAAACTATTGTTTTTCTAGGGTTTCAGAAGGGACGTTAGGCACTTTTTGGGCTCGATTTTGGCGCTGTTCCGTCCTTCAGGGCCACTGTGTTTCCCTGTCCGGGAGGGTGCGTTTTCAGCCTCGGGAGAGCAGCAGCAGCAACAGGAGCAACAGGAGGGTTCTATGTTTCATTGTACAAACAGTGGTATAAAAATTCGTCGAAAACTATAAAACCTTGTCTAAAACTATTGTTTTTCTAGGGTTTCAGAAGGGACGTTAGGCACTTTTTGGGCTCGATTTTGGCGCTGTTCCGTCCTTCAGGGCCACTGTGTTTCCCCGTCCGGGAGGGTGCGTTTTCAGCTTCGGGAGGAAGAGCAGCAGCAGCAACAGGAGCAACAGGAGGGTTCTATGTCTCATTGTACAAACAATGGTATAAGAATTGGTTGAAAACTATGTACAAACAGTGGTATACAAATTCGTTGAAAACTATAAAACCTTGTCCAAAACTATTGTTTTTCTAGGGTTTCAGAAGGGACGTTAGGCACTTTTTGGGTTCGATTTTGGCGCTGTTCCGTCCTTCAGGGCCACTGTGTTTCCCCGTCCGGGAGGGTGCGTTTTCAGCCTCGGGAGGAAGAGCAGCAGCAGCAACAGGAGCAACAGGAGGGTTCTATGTCTCATTGTACAAACAGTGGTATAAAAATTGGTTGAAAACTATAAAAAACAGGAGGGTTCTATGCCTCATTGTACAAACAGTGGTATAAAAATTGGTCGAAAACTATAAAACTATAAAACCTTGTCCAAAACTATTGTTTTTCTAGGGTTTCAGAAGGGACGTTAGGCACTTTTTCGGCTCGATTTTGGCGCTGTTCCGTCCTTCAGGGCCACTGTGTTTCCCCGTCCGGGAGGGTGCATTTTCAGCCTCGGGAGGAAGAGCAGCAGCAGCAACAGGAGCAACAGGAGGGTTCTATGTCTCATTGTACAAACAGTGGTATAAAAATTGGTTGAAAACTATAATAAAACCTTGTCCAAAACTATTGTTTTTCTAGGGTTTCAGAAGGGACGTTAGGCACTTTTTGGGCTCGATTTTGGCGCTGTTCCGTCCTTCAGGGCCACTGTGTTTCCCCGTCCGGCAGGGTGCGTTTTCAGCCTCGGGAGGAAGAGCAGCAGCAGCAACAGGAGCAGCAGGAGGGTTCTATGTCTCATTTTACAAACAGTGGCACAAAAACTGGTTGAAAACTATCACCAGCAGCAGCAGCAGCTGCAGTACAGTAGCAGGAACAGCAAGAATAGCTGCAACAGCAGCGCAGCGGACGCCTGCACCACCACCAACAGCAGTAGCTGCAAAAATGTTGTTCTTCGGGGCAGCACACCACCAGCAGCAGCAGCAGCGGGAGCAGCAGCAGCAGCCAGCAGCAGCAGCAGCAGCAGCAGCAGTAGGTCAAGCCCCGGGGCAGCATGTTTTTGGAGGTCGTTCCATCCTTCAGTAGCATGGTGTTTCGGTGTGGCGAAGGGTGTGTTTTGGAGGCTTGCAGCACCTGCTCCAGCAGCACCAGCAGCAGGAGCAGCAGTAGCAGCTGTTATGTTCCCATCCGAGGACCAACAGCAGCAGCAGCAAAAGCCTCTGCAGCAGCAGGCGCTTTGTTTTTACCAGAATCCAGAAGAGACGTCAAGCCTCGGGACAGCATGTTTTTGGAGGTCGTTCCGTCCTTCTTCTTTTCTATAGGTTTCAGAAGTTACGCGCGGCATTCGGAGGAAGAGCAGCAGCAACAGGAGCAGCAGGAGGGTTCTATGTCTAATTGTACAAACAATGGTACAAAAAGTTGTCGAAAACTATTGTTTTTTTAGAGTTTCAGATTGCACGTTAGGCACCTTTTGGGCTCGATTTTGGCGCTGTTCCGTCCCTCAGGGCCACTGTGTTTCCCTGTCCGGCAGGGTGCATTTTGAGCCTCGGGAGGAAGAGCAGCAGCAGCAACAGGAGCAACAGGATGGTTCTATGTCTCATTGTACAAACAGTGGTATAACAATTGGTCGAAAATTACAAAAACTTGTCCAAAAATATTGTTTTTCTAGGGGTTCAGAAGGGACGTTAGGCACTTTTTGGGCTATTTCCCCGTCCGGCAGGGTGCGTTTTCAGCCTCGGGAGGAAGAGCAGCAGCAGCAACAGGAGCAGCAGGCGGGTTCTATGTTTCATTTTACAAACAGTGGTCCAAAAATTGGTTGAAAACTATTGTTTTTCTAGAGTTTCAGAACGGACGTTAGGCACTTTTTGGGCTCGATTTTGGCACTGTTCCGTCCCTCAGGGCCAATGTGTTTCCTTGTCCGGCAGGGTGCGTTTTGAGCCTCCGGAGGAAGAGCAGCAGCAGCAACAGGAGCAACAGGAGGGTTCTATGTCTCATTGTACAAACAGTGGTATAAAAATTGGTCGAAAACTATAAAACCTTGTCCAAAACTATTGTTTTTCTATGTTTTTCTAGGGTTTCAGCGCAACCATGCACCTGTGCGGCGCAACATTAGCTGTATAATAATAGGGCCAAAAATATTGTGTATATATATATAACTATTATACAGTTACTTAGATCCATGAACCCATAAAACCATAAGATCAGAGTATTAACATGCTCAAATGAAAAACCCATTTACACATGAAAATTCAAACCTATCAAATATATTTCACAACGATGTACATAGCAAAAAGGTCGAGCTGCCAGCTTTGCTTCCTTGCCACTTCTTCCGGGGTCGGCGGCAGGGGCGGCAGCCCTTAAATATTATATATATATATATATTATATATATATATCATGGAATAAAAGGTGTGTATGTATATAATATATCTGTTGTATAAAATACATTTGTACTGTATACATTTCCAATATACATCCAAATACCAAAAAAAACTCCAGGCGTCCGTTGCTGATCCACAAGGTTCACATGCATGTTTTTTGTCCCGGAGCCCATCAAGCACGGTTCGGAGGAACTCGGCACCATCATCTTCGTAACGCTTCACCTCAGTCCAAGCAAATGCAACGGTGAAACGAGTGCCTGTAACACTTTAGGGCCAACCAACTGGTGCAAAAAGATGAAATGAACTAAAAATGAAGCAGTTGAAGCCTGCTCAAGTCACGTCTCTGTCCAATTCCATCTGAAGTTGAGCTGCTCGCCGCAGAGCTTGACACAGCTGTCCCACCGTAGCTTCTGAGAAGACGTCTGCTGAATCCGACAAAAACCTGGGCACTGTAGGGTGACTAAAAAGTGGCAGGAATCTAATCCTAGTCCAAAAGAATGACTCCTGACTATGCCCCCAAAACGAAATCCACTTACTCTTTGGTTTTGATAATAAAGGGCCAACATATTCCAGTAAAATAAGCTCCAAGATGCTCCAAGCTTTATGATCCCTTCTAACCTTGAATCTGGGAGAAAGGCCTTATGAAAATCTGAGCAGCTGATGGATGACCCCATCATCCCAGGGGAAGTACTCCAAGCTCTCCAGACCAGCCAGGCTCGCCGCCATCCATTGGATGAAGACTTTCACCGCAGCCGAACCGCCAAAGGCTCCACAGCCCCAATTCCCCGTGGCACAGCTGCGGGACGCCGGATAGACCTGCAAGGCCCCCTGGAAGCCGATGAAGGCTTTCTGCAGGTCGCGTTGGGCATCTTCCACTTGAAGCCTGTGATTTTTTCGCGAAGCGAAGGGGTTGAAGGAGCCAACCAACAAAAAAACACCAGGTTACGGGAGAAAATCATGGAAAATCCACTTTGCATCTGAGTCATGTACAAGAAGCCTGTGGGAATTTGTCTTGAGGATCCAAGCGTGTTGGCTTGGTCCAGTCTTACGCTATTGCTAAGACGGACTGCAATCAATTGACAAACTACCCAGAATCATTCCAAGCAACTCCCTGATGCTTCCCTTTCTTCGGAGCACAAACATGCCTATAAAAGGTTAAAATGTGCTTCCAGGGAACTTGTGGTCATACCTGTATGGTCTTCCCATTCCACCGCTGTCATAGATCCGAGCATCTATTACCACTTGAACCGCATCATTCAAAAAGTCCGGGTCACTTCTCTTCACACCTTCTAGAAAAGAAAAAGTATCCAGAAATCCATTATGTCGACAGAAGTGCCGCGCACCCTGGATCAGCAGTGCTTCATCATCTCGCAGCACCTCGCACAGCACTGTGGCTGCGCACAGCTCCGGATGAGTTGCAAAGGTGATTTCCTCCTGCGCCGTGGCGCCAGGTGCGTTAAGGAAAATGCCACCTCCAACCCTGGCATTGGCAAAATCCACGTGCAACGGAGCTGGAGATCCGCAGATGCCTTGCCGCAAATCGCGAAGCAGCACCTTGCACAAAAAGCAAGGACTGCGCTCCAGATCCTCCAAAGTGAAGCCTGGGTCGGATCGAACGATTCGAGTGATTCGCATGCCTTGGTCGCCTGGGTCGGCACTGTCTGCTTCACTGATGTCAAATTGGTCAAAGTAGTTCAAAAAGCAGCGGAGCTTTTCGGTGTTGGGAGGAAATGCGCAGCCATCTTTTGGAAAATATAGTGGGCTTATGCTGGCGCCGTTGGGAAGCAAACCAAGGAAGGCAAGTGCCAGCAATGTCGCCACCTCTGAGTATGTCAGAAAAACAACAGATGGCAAGCCCTGGATCAACAAAGGCACATCCTTGCAACGGAATTTTGTGGCCGCTTCTTCTGCCAGTCCCACAATCTTTGGAAGGATTCTGGCAAAAAAGTCTGATGACTCTGGGATGTAATCCAGCACCGCTTCAAAGTCAGGCTTTCCAGCCCTTGTTGCATGGAAATTTGCATCTGACGAGATTGCTTGGAGACTGGAGCGCAGTGAAGCAGCATCCTGTGACTGTGCAACCTGTCCGAGGCCCTCAGAAATCTGCACCCATTGTGTTGAGAAAAAAGCTGCAGGAAAAAGGAAGATTTGACCTTCCACCATGGCTGCTGTGATGTTCAGCGGGCTGGTAACGTGCCGCTGAACCGACTGGATAGTCACACTTTTGAAACTTTGGAGACGATCGGTTCAAGCTAGAATGGCTTCAAAAATGAAGCGATGTCCAGGATATGCTGAATCTTGAGCCTAAAACACCTCCACAGAATCTGCAAGGCTTGCTGGAGCCTACTGAATCCACAACACATGCTTTGACACAGTACCCGCCGCCGAGAGTCCTCCTTCAATGCTACCTCGCGATGGTTCAGCGTCAGGTTGAAGTCGTGCCATGATCCAAAGATGTTGGGTATGGTCATCCATCCCACAATCGGGATCCTTATAGTGATTTAAATAAATCCCTATTAATGGATTGATGGCTGTCCCCCAATATGGGCACTTGCCCAACTTTATCAACTTTTAACCAACCATGGCACTTTAGATTCATATCTCGTCTCCATCCAAGGCTCCCTTGCCTGCAGACTTTTCCCCAATCGGACGTCGAGCTGCCTCATCGCACCGGTCCGACCAACTTAATTTACATATCATGGCTCATTGACATGGGTACCATATTATATTAAAGGAGTCATTTTCATGCTATGAATTGTCATTACTATTATCATTACAGTACTTACACCAACAGCGCCAGTAGTGGTATTAGTAGTATTCTTATGATTACTACTGTGACTATTAGAAATCTTGTGTTAATCCATCTTTCCATGATGATTATATTATATTAATGAAAGTTAATAAATAAATAAATAAATAAATATAAATAAATACAGTAAAAATGAATAAATAAACAAACAAACAAATAAATAAGTAAATACATACCTATTATTTATATATATATATATCATATTGTCATATTGTATCAAAATGTATCAAATCTCCTTAGCTGAAAGAGCTGAACGGCCTCTTGCCGGCCTCTGCGTCACGGGTCCAGACTTCCAAGCCAGCTGCGCCCCAGGTTCCCATGGCTCAACTGCTCAGTCAACTTCCCCTGAAACAGAAAAGGGGCACCAGCTCAGCAGGTTCAGCGAGCTTGGAAGCTTGGACCAGACACAGCCTTCCCGGAACACTTGGAATTCAGGTGCAATGACCACGGGAATCTGATGTCCATGGGAATCCAAAAGTCCAGGAATGCAAACAGCGCTGTCCGTCAAATCCTACAAAGCATCACAACCGTTGTCACAAGCTGGGGAAGTCTCCATGCAGTGAATCAGTAAAATGCTCACCTTGAGTTCCAGTCCAGTGTCATTGACGTACCCACCACCTGAATGGCCGCCCAGAAAAGCAGGCTGCAATACAGTGATTAGTAAATTAAACGTTTGTTGAGATGACATGATTCTTACAGCTACACTCAGCTCAGCTCGGTTTTTTCCCTGAACCCTAGAAAATCCTAGGGATTTTCAATGATTTTCATCAAGCTTCATGTTTGCTGAAAAACTCCCCCAACCATGCCCGTCGAGTGACACTTCTCTTGGGCCGACTCCGTGAGGTTGAAGGCATCGCACTGATCTTGCCTGCTGAGTTTGGGGCAGACCCTGGCCCGAAACTGAGGGACTCAATGGGGAAAATGGTTGAAAATGATGATAGAAAATGATAACCCATGGACACTTTCTCCATGACGGAGGTGTTTTACCAAGGTACCAGGCCGAATTGATGCAAACTCATCGAAAATGTGGTTTCACATGATCCGGATTCACCAACTAGAAACTAAAAGTGAAAGGGTTTCGTGTTTCGATGCCGTGCCCGACACTGGGAGCAGGGCCTGAGAATCATGGAGAAAGAGCCGAAAGGGTCATCGCTCGTTGGCATGCGACTCAAGCGCTCCCTCAGTTGCCATCAAGTCTGGCAGGTCAGAAACACATGTGAACATCTGCTAGCAAAAAAAAACATACGTGTCATGTCAATGTGCATTCCTTTTTTTTCTGAAGAGATTGGGATGGCAGCGCAGCCGAGCTGAGCCCTTTGGTCTTCGATTGCTAGGCATCTTTGCGCCAAAGGAGTCGTTTGATGCTCAAAGTGTGTACAGCTCATCGCTGATCTCGCTGTCGCTCATGCCCATTCTCGACTTCTTCAGGTCTCAGGTTTCGCATCCTCGCGAAACGACCCGAATGAGACCATCGAACATTTCAGGACTCAAACGAGGTGAGTGCAGTATCGTCAAGAATCTGTCCAAAAAGGAATTGAAGCATTCAGTTGAGAGTCATCTTCAGGCTCATCTTCAGGACCATCTTCTTCCAGTGATTCAAGCTTTCCTTGGCTGGAATCTGAATAATCTGAGCAGCTTGATCGAATGTCCCTGCCAAACAACTTCCATTTGCCAAGCTTCGCGGAGCTGCGAAGTCCTGCGCGGCAAGTGCTTGCAGCTGCTTTGCAAACTCCACAGATCGATGCACTCCTTCTTGACCTGACACTGGGCATCACTGGGCTGCGGCAGATCAGATCAAAGTTTCATCGTATCAAACAGTGAAAAAAACCGACCATTTCTATATGGCAGTGTGTCAAAACCCTGGCACCTAGTGAACATCAAATAGCTGGTAAATGGATGTTCATCCCACTAAAAATGGTATTAATAGGTATTGATCCATAGCCATATCTGAGCTCAGCGGCAATGGACTGCAATGACCTTTCCAGATTGTAATGCTTCCTTGGCTTCACACGCTTCACACGCTTCACACTTCCAAATTCTTTGTGCCGCTGGACAAAACGTACACATGTCTTAGCATTTTTTGCCAAGCCGCCAGCAAGCCAGGGCCATATTCCTTCAGGTATGACCGACAGGCCTCCTGCATGTTGGCTTCGGTCATAGGGAGCCAGTACACCACTTGACCAGGCCCCGATTCCACCTTTGCATCTCCAGAACGACGTGCACAATCAACAATCACCTGAGGTTGGTGCAAAAGAAACCGGTACCCGGTACACAAAGCTTCCTTCATGGGCACTGAAGTGGGCACTGATTTTCAGTGAGCGTGAGACATGTGAGACCTGTTTCAAGCATGCACTTTAATGACTTCAATGACTTTAATGACTTTAATGACTTTAATGTACACTCTGGTTATTTAACATAGCCATGGAAAATCCACCCATTTATAATAGGTAAACCATCTATTTCTATGGGCCATCTATACCATGGCTATGTTAGTCATAACCAGGTGGTATATTCTCTGGCACCTCCACTTCCCCTCGAACAGCTCGAACTGCATCGGCACCTCCTTGGAGGATTCTTCCTCGACAGCCATCGACTTCGAAGCAGCGAAGACCTTTTGGGAGCGACGAGCTGAGCGCCATGGGCCATAGCGCACCCCTCAAGGTGCTGGGTTTGTCCAAATGGCATCTAGATGTATTTAGCAGGAAAAAAAAACGGTTTGTTGATAAAACTAAACGATGAGAAGCCAAATTTCAAGACAACCAACATGAATGATGCGCTGCTGCGGCTCATAGTGTTGTGATGTGTTGTGATTCAAGCTTTAGACTCAGGCAGTCCAGGGCTGTGTTCAATTTCATGGAGTTGGTATCATACCTATGAAGACTCAACCACCCTGGAGCCAAAATGCGCGACACTCACCGGGTCTCATGGTGTCACGTGGCATGTTGGTCTCATCCCAGTGGCGGAATTGGAGATTCTGAGCTGCTGACCCTGTGGTGCCGTCAAAGTGATCGCGCCAATCTGTGTAGTTCAAATGCACCAGGACGTCCTCCGACTTGGGTGTAGTGTTGGTGTATGAAGGTCCAGCCCCATATCCATGCGCTTCCATGACATAGGGTCGCACAGAATACTGCAAGCTCAATCTCTGGAAGTCGTTGGGATCGTTCACCCGCATGTCGTAGGTCTGGTTCTCCACCATCGGAAAGGCCCAGCCCTTCACTTTGAAGAAGTCGTAGCTGACCTGATCAAAGCCCGAAGAACTGAGGACATTCATCTGCTTTCCATCCAGCTGCCATGGTTCCTGGTGCGACAACCCACAAGTGGGGATCCTAAACCCTGGTTTTATCATCATGGTCCCCTTGAAAGTTGCCAGTTTGGGGTATATTCGGGGGGGCATTTTTGGACAAAGCCCTTTCTTAATCCCTTAATCCCTGTTCCTGGTTGTTCACCTTCATTGTGCGTACCCTCAATGAGCCATCCGCAGCGCCACATACCACACCATTCACGTGTTCCGAGGACACGTTGCACTTTCCTGGAAAGGTGTTGAACTCAAAGTACTTGGAGACAAAGCCATTGGGATATCCCGTCAAGGTGCCATCCAGGTCCCAAAAGATGCCAGCCATCTTGCCACTGTCACTGAAGGTGCGCTTGCTGCTGTTGAACCATCGGGCACGCTCATATCTCATGGTGCAAGTGGTCTGAAAGCACCCTTCAAAGGCGGCGCTCTCGTGCAAATTGATGCTGGTCACACCAGAAACATAGAAATACTCGTTGTCCTTGGCCGATCGGATACCACGGCCCATCCTGGAATGCATGGCGTAAGGATCAATGTTGCCCACCAAAACCAAGTTGTGATAGAAAGGCGCGGTGTGCAAATTGTTGGACAGGTGGTTCATGAAGTGGCCAGTCCCACATTCGATGAATCGATGATCATCATGGAAGATGTTGCCAGTTCCATAGTAGAACATTCCAGTGTTGCAGCGGAAGGCCGTGAAGCTCTTGAAGTTGTTTAAGGTTGGCGGAGCATGTGGAGGTTTCAAATGCCAGCCAAAGCCAGAGGCATGCGCTGAGTTGTTGAAGAAGGTCATGTCCTTGGTTGGTGCTTGGCATTTCAAAAGTCGACAGAAAATATCAGGAAAACTTGGAATCATTCCCAGGAATGCGATATGGAAAACCCTCCAAGAATATAGATCGTTTTCCGAATGGGAAATCATTGGCTTTCCTTATATCATCTTCGTATAGTTTTCTCCAGGGTAGTATAAAATACTGTAAATAATCATAAAATATCATAAATCATCCACCATTTATAGATGATTCTCCCATTGAAACCTCCATTGAGTTTGGGGATTTCCCAGTGATTTCTCCACGGTTTTCCGAATGAAATCCTGGCGAGTCTCCGTTTGGCCCCCTGCAGGACCACTGATCAATCGCACCCGCCATCCACGGTGGCAGTTGGAAGCCAAGTTCGAGCGATGCCTGGCGTCTGGCAAAAAAGCTACAGGACACTCAGGACACCATCATTTTCTGCCGATCCTGGAATTTCCTGGATTTTTTCACCGGGAATTCAAGCTGCCTTAAAAATTAAAAAAAAAATATGCGCTTTCGCGGTTCCGAAGCATGGAGAGAAACAGCAAAACCAAGGGTTTTTGCTGCCACAAGGCAGCTTTTTGTCCGCTTTGTCGCGGGTTTCAGGATACTTTGTCCCGCGGGAGTCGAAACTGCTACCCCATCGTATTACTGAAACTGGTCTGGCGTGTGACCAAAGTACAGCATGTGCTCACTTTCAGGTATATTGTTAAGCAAGTTCATCTCTTCACCTCAAGCTGACCACCTCTGACACTGTGAAATATGTGAAATTGTAGAGGCTGTTTTGAACGGGTTCTCAGCTCGTGGCTTCCCAGCTCAAAGTCAAAGATCTGGAGGTTTTCCTCAAAGGCAAAGAACCCCTGTAATCCAGATGTTTTCTCCCAAAATTAGTTCCTTGAGAGACCATGGCCCAACATCAAACACCAGCGGACGCAGACACAGAGACGCAGAGGGCCACTTAAACGCCGCCAAGTGGCAGCCTGATGTTTGGGGTTGGAGGTGCCGGGAATGACAGTGACATTCTGCCTCACAAACCATGGTGTACCAGTAAATCTCCCCAAAAAATTTTAGGGATCCATCAGGGTGTGTCTGGAAATTGGGTACCCCCATGTACCCCCCAAACTTGATGGAGTTAATCATCATTTTCCCTTGTAAATTGGTCATCCCGGGTGGATGAACCCATTTTCAGACAGACCCTTGAAAAATCTGCGTGCCAGTCCGCTGGGCAGCGCACTGAACAGCCCAACGCAGGAGTATCTGCCCTGCCGTTTTGCCATGCCATTGGCCCATCTGCTTCAACGCCCCCTGAAAGGATCATCGCCAACATCCCAAAGTTTTGGGCATCTGATGGGCAACTGAGCTGGTGGCTTGGGTGGTAATCTGTGAAGCATATGTGTTGCTTCCTTGGCCAATTTCATATGTGAAACAGCGGGCAGGGTGGCATCTGCTCAGCATCCCACCCATAGATCCGTACGCAGTGACCACCACGCCTTTCCTGAACTCCGAGATCGAAAACCCAAAAATCCACTCCAGCATGCTACGTGGAGCGCCTATGGCACCACTTCACGGTCTCCCGGTGGATTGTCGGCACCCATGGGTGGTATTCCAACTGGTTCACTGCTACCTTAGCTGCTTGGCCATTAAAAATCTAATAGCATGGGGATTTCACCACCAAAATTCCGCCCACACCGCTTTGGCGGTGAAGGCGTGCTTATTGGGGGGCAAAACAGCAACACTAAATGCTCAATGACATTTGTTAATATAGCAGTCGCTATATCAGCTTTAGCTGGGGGGGGGGGGCCCAAAAACGGTTTCGCACCGAGACCAGAATACGGTGGTGTTTTCGACATTTTTCGAGGATTTTTGGGTGTCTGAGCGCAAGAGGGTATTGAAATGGAATTTTGGGTCATTTTGGTAGCTTTCCGGCAATGGAAAAACGGCCAAAAATGAAAAAAAACATTGTACATAGCAAGAATTTGCAGGGTTTTTGGATGCCAGGGCATTGAAAACACTGCAAAAACAAGTGTTTTGGACTGACGTTATAGCAAAAAACGTGTAAATTACCGTATGCTTGACTGGAAACATTACAAAAACACTGTCAAAAGCAATGTTTTGGAAGGATTTACTGCCTTTATGGCAAAAAACGTGTAAATTACCGTCTGTTTGACTGGAAACATTGGAAAAACACTGTCAAAAACAATGTTTTGGAAGGATTTCTTATATATATGTTGGAGTTGGCTACCGGCATTGGAACATGGAAAAATTGAAGAAAACACTGTAAATAGCGGTATTTTCAACGGTTGGGGAGATAAGGGAATTGGAAGCATTGTCGAACATGATGTTTTCGACCGGTTTTATGGCGACAAAAGTGTAAAGTACCGTGCTTTGAAGGAAACCATTGCAAAAACATGGAAACACATTCAAAGAACACGGGATTTGGGGGACTATCTAGGCGTCGTTGTCTAGCTATTTGAAATTCCGCAGCTTGGAGAGCCTCCAAGGGAGGGAAAAGTGAAAATTCCATAGCTTGGGAAGCTGTCACGGCGGGGAAAAGTGAAAATTCCCTAGCTTGGGAAGCCCCCACGGGGGGGAAAAGTGAAAATTCCCTAGCTTGGGGAGCCCCCACGGGGGGGAAAAGTGAAAATTCCCTAGCTTGGGGAGCCCCCACGGGGGGGAAAAGTGAAAATTCCCTAGCTTGGGGAGCCCCCACGGGGGGGAAAAGTGAAAATTCCCTAGCTTGGGGAGCCCCCACGGGGGGGAAAAGTGAAAATTCCCTAGCTTGGGGAGCCCCCACGGGGGGGGAAAGTTAAAATTCTTAGCTTGGGGAGCCCCCACGGGGGAAAACCACCCTTAGCCCCTCTCACGGACCTAAATAAACCTGCGGTGTGGGCGGCCACCCCACGCGAAGCGGGGTGAATAAAGATCTTTGGGGTTTCAACCAACAGATCCAGCGAAAAACTTGTCTTCCAACTGACTTGCCACCAGCAGTTTCCAAGCTGTTCACTGGTGTTCCTCCAAGGTCAAAGAGCTCCTTGTGCGCCATGACGCTGTGGCTCAAGGACTTTAGGGATGGTGACCCTGGAATGGTGCGCCAAAAAGAAGGAGAACTTCAAGGTGACTTCATCATTTGAATTTGTGGTGAGTTTAGTTGATCAATGTCGATCACCACAATCACCAGTCACCACAATTTTCTTCTCTATCTGTTATCTGGAAGATACGTTTGGAAAAAGTATGAGTCCATCATTTTGAGGGATAAGATTGAAGAAGCCTCAGGGAATCATCGGGCCAGACCGGTCAAATGGCCCCCGTCTTGGCGTACAGTTCTTGTGGCTGGATGTGTCTAGAGATGCTGGAAAAGAATGAAAATTAGACCTACCAGGAAAGGGTAAAAACCCCTCAATGGACTACCACATGTTGGTTTGAGGCATCCCCAAGTGTGGGTAAATGATCAATGCTTAATCAAGAATATCAGAACATATCAGAACCACCAGGAAGAAATGGCTCCTGCATCTGCCGAGGCCCAAAGTTGCTGACTCCAAGCGAGCGGATCTGGCCCTGTCCAGGTTTCAACATGTTGTTGGTTGTTTCAATTTCAACGTATCCTCAAAAAAGTTAGGATCTTCTTCCGAAATGCGTGCGAAACATTCAAATAAACTCAGGTGCAATCCCCAACAGCTTGAAAGCTTCTGCGTTTTTGCGATAAAAAGTGCTTATGCCATAAAAATTAAGCGCTTATGCCATACAAATTAAGCGCTTATGCCATAAAAATTAGGTGCTTGTGCCATAAAAAACATCGGAACCCTTTGGAATTTGACAAAGCATCAGGTACCTGCACCAAAACCCTTTGGAACCTCACCAAGCATCTTCACTGTAACCTCACCGAGTACCTGCACCGGAACCCTCCGGAACCTCAACACGCATCTTCACCTATAGACCCTCCGGAACCTCATCAGGTAGCTGCACCGCAAACTTCCGGAACCTCACCAGGTACCTGCACCAAAACCCTCTAGAACCTAACCAAGTATCTGCACCGTAACCCTCCGGAACCTCGCCGAGTACCTGCAAGGGAACCCTCCGGAACCTCAACACGCATCTTCACCTATAGACCCTCCGGAACCTCATCAGGTAGCTGCACCGCAAACTTCCGGAACCTCACCAGGTACCTGCACCAAAACCCTCTAGAACGTAACCAAGTATCTGCACCGTAACCCTCCGGAACCTCACCGAGTACCTGCACCGGAAACTTCCAGAACCTCACAAGGTATCTGCACCGGAAACCCTCCGGAACCTCACGAGGTACAAGTATCTGCACCAGAACCCTCCGGAAGCTGGTATTGAAGCTGCACCGGATCGCACAGGAGCTAATCTGGGCTAAAGACCCCATAGCAAAGTTTTGCTGTTGGGGAAAAAAACGAACAACCCTTGATCCTGAATGGAAAACAAGCAATAGTTGCAAACCACACACGAGCCATGGAACAGCGCTGCACTGAGTTTCTGTTTCTCACCATGCATCACAACTTCTGAAAATCAGGTACCCACAGAAATCATGATCAAATTCCGCAGTGAAATGGATGTGGGTCAAAATGGAAGACCGTTAAGGGGACCACAGATGTTAGTCTAGTTTAGTATTCACCATCCAATTATTGGGGTACCTAATTTTGACCCATACCCAAATGATGGGTTTTCAGGTCCACTGTCTCCCCTTTTTGGGAGCGACCGCCTTGCCCTGGAAGCGTTGCAAAGCGAGCCAGGTCTCTTGACGGCACTGCTTGGGGGATCCGCACTCCTCGGATGCAAAAATCATGGCAGAAACTCCTGGGTTTTTGAGAGGAAATGATTGAGAATAACAGGAAAATGATAGGAAAATGATAGGAAAAATGATAGGAAAATGATGGAACAATGAGTGATTCTCAATGCCAAACATGATGGACTTGGAGCAAATCCCATTGCCGGTTCATCTTTTGCCCGAAGGTATGCCAGATTACGCACATAGCATCACCAAACACGTCGCCAAATGTCCTTGCCATCCGCACTTGCCACGTGAAGCAACACCAGGTCAACGTACCTCACAGGATCCATGGATCGCCTATCGCCCAGTGGTGGTGAAAGTCGCATCTTGCAGCTGAGAGACTCGAGTCCCAACTCTCCGAGCATGTGAGGGACCCAGGCCACGGTCTCAGCGAAGTTTGACATCACAATGGGTGAAAGAACTCTGGCAAGTCTCAAAGAATCTCAAAGAGTCAGGGCCTTTTCCCATCCAAAGTCGTCTGACCAGATCTTGGTGGTGAGGAAAATCTCTTCTCGTGGCACCTGAAAAAAGGAAGCAGCTTCAAGCAGCCTGCATTGGTTTTTGTTGATCTGCTTGGTGGTTTCAACCCAAGTTTTATCCCAAAATAATGGTCACTTGGGATCATATGATTCATATGTTTGAAGCCACCAACCAGTCATTCATATTTCCTATGCAAATTCAATGATTAGCATGATTCGCACTACCGTAGGCACTCCTTGCTGCACAGCAAGTCGTACACCTTCTCCCACTTCCTCAGCAAGCCTTGCGGCTTGCTAAGCGCAGCTCAAAGTTTGGTGCGTATGAATCAAACTTTGAACACCCCCAAAGATAGAGACGTAAAATACAGTGAGTGAATTCTGTGAATCTGTCTGAGGTCGAGACTTTGTGATTTCCATAGATCTGCGCCGTGTCCAAATGACGTCCGCCTCAACCAATGGAAGGCTGGTTCTTGAAGAAAGCCCTGTAAACAAGATCAAGAGCTTCAATGAAATCCACATTGGTTGTTTCATAGGCATATCATGACCTGTCTTTGATCCATCCTCACCATGCTCTCGGGGCCTTGAAGAAGGAAGTCTAAGATACATTGCCTGGCGGCATCTCCACCTGCACACTGCTGTTAACATCAAAATACAGGAAATAGCTGGTAGCTATAGATGTTTTCATCCCCAAAATATGGTAATGTAGTGTAGGTTGTGATCCCATGAAGCTGATTGATCTATTTGGAGCATAGTGATTTCGGCGCATTGGACAACAGGGTTGTGGCCTGGATTAAGCACAACTCAGAAGCATCACGCGCTTAAGATGCCCACGTGCTGAGTGTCTGCAGCACATGCCAACTCCCGCCATGGGTCTCAGAATGAGCCAGAGACTTTTGCAAAAACTGATGCTACTGGACTGCTGATCTTTGTTGCATTCGTCAGCATTCTGTACCACTTTCAGGCCATTGCTGATGGCTGAGGATGGCACATCTTGCCCCCACCAAGCAGTGATAGGGAAGGTACCGAAGCTTCTGCAGGCGCCTGAAATATGTATCTATCTGAATCTATCTCGTGGCATGTCGATGGCACTTCCATCAATCCTTTGGGGGGTCAACATTCATGGCCCTGGTCACAATACAAACAAGGCTGGGAGAAGGACGACAAGCATCAGCAGCCACAGCCACATGGATTGTCCCGACATTGGGAAAGGTGTGGGCGAACTGAGTTCTCCATACACTGCAATGTTCAAACACTTCTGGTCCGCTGGTAAGGGTTGTCCAAAAAAAACCATCAGAATGGTCCTGAAATGTCCTGAATCTGTATTGAAACATAGTCCCAAGTGGACCCCGTTGTTTTCTGTGAGTGACCCGTGGGGTGCTGTATGATTCATGGACATACATGACCAGGATATGACAATGTCACACTGGTCTTTCAATAGTTGGATGTGAATCAAGCATGGAGGGCGAGGCGAGCAGAACTGGATCTTAACGAGGAGACAGTCTGACTATTGGGTGGTACAATTGCAGTCTGTCCAGGAAGAACAGACTCAGATCCAGCTAGATTCTGTTGGGTCACGACCAAATCTGTTGTTCCATTCCTCTACGGACCCCGTTGCTTCTGTTGAAGATCAACTTGAAGCAACCGGAAAAAAGCTCAGCTGGAGCCAAATGGCTACTGCAGGCGACGCACCAATTTCAGTGCCAAAACCAAGGTCCATTAAAAACCGATTCCTGCTGAATGCCAAACTGCGCATGCCCAACAAGGCCAGGAATACCAGCCCTGGAAACCTCCCTGCCAGAAACCTGCTGGATCCATGTCGTCGTCCAACAGAAGGGGATGCCTGTGGCTTGAGAAATGCTGCGGGATGATGGAATGAGAAGTTGGTTCTTGCTCGACTTGTCAGCGATGTCTGCTTTTTCCGTCTGTTCAAAGGGCACATGGATAAATGACTCAAGTATATACTGATATATACTGATATATACTGTACATACTGCACTCAAACTATCCAAGTCCGGCGTTTTTCCACTTCTGTTTCCCTGAGTTTTGGACTGAAGTGGATGAACAGCCAGGTTATGTTCGTAGAGTGAGAAGACCTCATCTCCCGCCTCAGGATCAACGGACTCCGGTGAGATAGCCAGCCTCTGAAAAACCAGCATGTCCGAGGTCCAGATTCGGAACCTCCAAATCCTAGGCTGTTCCCATGTTTTATAAGGTGTTTGTTGTTTATCTATATATGTATAATTTATGTATATACGTGTTATCTGAGTTATATATCTTTATATAATCACATTCGCCCTCAAAAAGGCTAGAAATTGGATATCCGCAAATCCGACCCCCTGCCTCAGTGAAGTAGGAATGGCCCTTCGTTTGAAGCGCCACATTATCCCTGACCACCGTGAAGTCTGTGGAATGAACCACCTCAGTCTGGTGCAAGGGGATGATGCCTCAAAAACATAACTACCTACAGTAGGAACTACAGATCAACAAGTTGTTGAGCATCTTGGAAACTGTACTAGTGATATCGGATCGGTTCAAATTCCTCTCCGACTTTAATACTCACAGACAGAGACATGTAATTCCATGTAATTCCATGCATACATACTGGACCTGGGTGGCCAAGTTCCATTCTAAGGAGGGAACCACCGCTCGCTGGAACGTGTGGTGGTAGCTGTTATTGCGGAGGTATGCCTTAGCCATGGTGGTCCATGGAGTTTGATCCTGGACCCTGGTGGATCAACTCCAACGACCATCGTTCCAGGGCAGCGGCCAAATCGACAACATCCACAGTTCGATGAGGTGACAGGACGTGCCAATGGGAGGAATAGCGGCCGAAGTTGGCGGCCTGGCATCGAAAGTTCACTGGCACTTGACGGCACGTGGCCTCAAAACTGCACAAACAAAGCAGTTGCTTGGTGGAGCAATCAACTGGCGGATTGCTCCAATTATGGACAAAGAAACATGGATGGTTCAATGGTAAGAAACATGACAAGAATTGTGGTTCCATAGCCGAGCCATACCCCAACAGGAACCACAGCAACTACGGATGATGTCAAGTCAGCTTGACATGGCCTGCCCACTGCGAGTGATTTCAGTGTTCTCAATCCGCATGACGCCACCGTGGAAAGCACCGATGTGCACTCCAAACATGTAGGCCTCAGGGTCCACAGTCTCCTCTGCCAACCCATCTGACAATGGTAAACTCCAGCTTTAAGATGGTTTAAGGACACTGATGACCTGTGCTACACATCCAGTTGACCAGACAAAGCGGATATTGTCTATTCTTCATTTGTGGCTTCCACACTCAGCGATATGACCACTGTCACTGTCCGAGAGCCCGGACGTTTCCATATCCCAGTGATCTTTCATCGCCTTGCACCTGCAGGGCAGCAAAAATGAAGGGACCCCAAGGGACCCCTTGGGGGACCCACTTGTAGGATCATCCCGCAGATCCTAACTGGTTAGTATCCAATGTATCCATAGCATTCCATAGCCCATTATCATCATGGCATCTGATGGAAGAACTCCAGAAATCGGGGACTTAAGTGACTTAAGCATCCCCCCGGCCTTGACATTGCGAGTGAGCCTTCCTACAGCTGCACCTCAGATGACTGGATCGATTCCATGGTGCCATTTTGGGGCTCAAAACTTGAGCACTGAAAAAAACACCAACTTAGGTCAAGTTATGATGAATCAGTGCTCAGAGCACTATTTATGATCATTGATTCCTAAAAGTCTGAAAAGCCCATGGCAAACCATGCCATTGTTCATATTGTTTTAATATATATTATATTTTTCATATTGTTCAGCGTCAAGGCCCCCACGGAGGTCAGTTGGTGTTGGAATCTCCTCGTTGAAGTACCTCAAGAGAGCAAGGCATAGTTGGGATAAATGGCTGGTCATGTTTGGTAGTAAAGCATAGAGAAACCCCGCAGTTCGGGGGGTCAATCTGCTGAACCTCGACGAACTGGGTTTGGCACCAAATTCCCAAGTGCTCATGTCTCAGTGGTTCATCCAACCGAATGGTCAAACCTGGGAGAAGGTTTCACATGCTCAAACTGTACTCAACCATCCTCAAATACCTGAAGCAGGTCCCTCATCTCTGAGTCGCCCAAGAATCTCTCGCAAAATCACAATTGCATGAGACCAGAATCAATTCCCCCCTTCAACCTATCAAACGATTCCAAGGACGGGCAGTGACCCAAAAGCTTTGGACATTGGACAAGTGCTGTGAACATCTACTTTGAAAAGTCTTGACTTCCGTAGATCACCAGCTAGAAGAAATGCAACTGCAAACTCCCTGCACGATCACAATCAGTTGATTTTCATGGTATTCCCCGTTTTCCCAGTTTTGATCATTATGGACCAGTGATGGACATCAATACCTGTACTATAACAAGAATACGTATGCCAGTGATCCCACCAGGCTCACAACCATTATCCTCGATGCTCAGCACCCTGCGGACCTGGAATGTCAAGCCCAGACACCAATCGGTGACTGGTTTACCCACTCGAAAGTGGGAGGCTTTACCACCTAAAATTGGTGTTTAAAAAAAAACTAAACTTGTGATGAAATGGCTTCCGGTTTCCTGAATGACAAACCCAAAATGACTCGTTTTACGAATGAAACTTGGAATCTGAAGCACCAAAAACGATTATGTTACCAACCAAAATGGGCATAGAATTTAGAATCAAAAGCGTGGATAGACAAGCCCAAAGTGGGAAGTTTACGAAGCCAACATAGGGACTTTACCAGCAAAAATTGGTCGTTTATGGTTGTTTACCAACCCAACATTGCGATTTGACGAACAAAAAATAGATAGTTGACCAAATAAGGAAATGACCATGATTTTCCAAGAGAAACTAGCTACAGCTATTGATTTTCGTGATTTAATGGAGGTGTCCATACGACTCAACTCCAAAAACTCGAGCCTGGCCTCCTCCGTCTGTCCTCTCTCAGTGGGGGTGATCACCAGCTCCGTTCCAACTTCCCAATCGACTGCCTCTTCGATCTTCAATAGACTGGAACCTGCTTCTGCAGTTTCCACCAATCGAGTCCAAGAGATGCTTGGCTTGCCATGAAGTTCCATCCGCCCAACCAACTTCACGGGACATGGATCCACGTAGAAATTTCCTGGGATGTAGAACTTCAGCTTTCCAATTTTTTGCAGGGAAGGCGTACATACGAAATGAATCAACAAGAATGATGTGAAACAAAGCTCTACACCCCAGCATGATGCAGCATGGCATCCCTCAGGACTACTTGCTGTGTGCTCGGCCAACATCTCAAACATATCTGTATCAGCACATTGGTGTGCAGAAATGGTGGCTTTACGCCAATGCATTTGAAAAATATTGAACCATGTTGAACCATCATGTTGTAAACCAGTTCATTAGTTCATTGTGGAATATTGTGGAGTATCCTCAACTTTTTTCAGGACCCATAGCCATAGCCGCTACAGTGCCCAGCGTCCTTTGGACGAAAGGCGAATCTCCCTCTTGTATAAATGAGCGCATGTGCCCAAGCCGCCCAGGTCAGTCACTGCCAGCATTTTGGAGCCGATCACTGGAAGTTCGATGGTGTTCCAACGGTCTCCGTGCAAGGTAATGGTTGCCTGATGTAAGAAGGGTGCAGCCTCGGAACCCACGTAAAAACTTCCACCTGCAATCCAAATGTAGGTGGAGTTCAGCATCAAATCTTGCCGGTCAAATTCAAAGTAGCCAGAGATCAGCAGCAAGAAAAGCTGGGGAGAGTTCTGGTCAAGCATAATTGCCTGACCTTCTGGAACGACCACACTGTCTCCATCAACAGGAGGTTCAGACTCCAGCCAGCTGTAGATATTGCTCCACCTGTCGACGTACCTGAGCAGCACAGCTACCCCACACACAAACACAGCTATATAATGCTATATAGATGTTTCGTAAGGTCAGACCCTAATGTGAAGCAAACAAACCGAAGTAGAGGAAAACAAATTGGGTATAACGTGTTTCACAGCCCCCACCCAGTGATTTCAAGTATTCTATATGTGCACGTTTCAGAGATGTTGTGAACGTTTCAGAGATGTTGTGCACGTGTCAGAGATGTTGCGCACGTTTCCCAGCAGTTGTGCACGTTTCACAGAAGTTGTGCACGTGTCACAGAAGTTGTGCACGTTTCACAAGCCCCCTAATAACGTTTGTGTTCAACTGTGTACGCACTGAGCGCATTCTAATCAGCAAAAGCATTGGGGCGGCCAAACACGTTCTCCCGAACAAACTGTATGGACTTGCTCTATATCACTAGCCTTTGACTTGACATGTTTGTGGATGATGTGGATGTCTGTGTGCTTTGGACCTGGCCTGAACACTGTATCCTCTGCCCTTTCAGAGATGATGGCATATCCTCGACCTTCCAGGAAAACGCTGGTGGACGGCACATTGATGCCAGCATTTCGCTCGGTCGTCATGCAGCTCAAGGCGCTGGAATTGGCGGCTTGGGGCACGCAATCATAGCCGTTAAAGTTGATGACGGCGTTCGTGCTGGTGAGATCTGGCAGGATCGTGTCTCAGAGTACATGTCCCTACCCCGCAAAAAGAGTACATGCCGCTCGCCTCTCTCATTGAAATCCTGCTAGACCAAAGCATAGAAAGTCACATGAAATAGGCTACCCTCAAATTCGATTGTTCATTATGGTTCACTATCATTTTCCCTTATTTTACCGATGAAATTGGCTGTTGGGAAGTATCCTTCATTTTCAGAGCCGGGAATCCCCGCCTGTGGCAACTCCTTGGGAGTCCAGAGGCTCCAATCCTTCTCCATACAATGTCACCAGCGTGTCTCCCCGCGCCGTGCCACGGTTGGGGCTGAGCGAGGTCACTTGGGGAGTTCCTGGACAGTTTCTTCGTCAAATCGAGGGTCCAACCATTGGAAACCAGTGAAAAATGAAGATCCAATGCGCAAATTTGGGATTGTGCATGATTGTGCATTGAAATTCCCGAGATGATGTTTAGTGATATGAGTGACTGAGGACTTCCCCCATCCTTTTCTGTTGTTTGTATGGGTTTTTTCTCAGCTGCAACATCCATCATCCCCCCGCCCTGTGGCGCGCCAAGGCTCTCGCCAAGCTATAGGACAGGGTCACGGGCAACAGGGCAGACCCTCCAACGGCGGACGCCAAGGGGTGTGAAATGCGGTCCACTTCGATGGGACAGGCCGACGCGTCGCCCTTATTCAGCAGGATTCCTCTGAAACGTACCCCACGCATCAACTCACCTGGCAGTGTGTCAAAACCAATAGTACCCCTGTAGTTCACATCAAAATAGCTGGGATTTATGGATGTTCATTCCCCTAAAAATGGTATTAATAGGTATTGACCATAGCCACCTTAGTGATTGGATGATTCAAAAGGAAGAAATCCCATACAGCACTAGAAGCATCGGAACGGCAACCATAAGGAATCATCCTAAGACCCAAAAAAGATGATGGTGTCAACAAAATGGAGGGGGAAAAAAAAAGTACAAAAATATTGGCATGCATCTCGACACCTGTACTTTCACAAGCATCAGGCAAAAGTCGAATCCGGAAGGCTTGCGCGACCGCAGTGCCATTCACCCCGGGACCGTTGATGGGATACGAAGTCCATCCTTGAGGGGTTCAAACGAGAAATGAGGGCCTTGAAGGGACCAAATGCTTGGCCAACTGATCTCAAGTTTTATATCTAAATAATTTACTTATTTATCTATTTATAATATGTGTTTAAATTATTTATTTATATTCATATATAATTATGCATAGACGCGCTTCTATCTTTATGTTTTCCGCGCCTCTAGGAGCGCGGGCGCTTTCCTGTTCTTTGCATCGTTCATCTGATCATTATAAGATCTTCTCTTGCAAATGGGGTGGGGTGGCGTGGGGTGGGGGGGCTAATAACGTCCTGTTGCACTTGCACAAAGAAATGATGCCACACTAAAGGCTCTTCCTTCTTCTGCAGACTTAGATGATGCCATGCTCACGACTCTTCTCATGTATGGTTGCAGACTGCGATGATGCTACGCTAAGGACTCTTCTCTTGTACCGGCAGACTTAGATGATGTTAGGCTAAGGACTCTTCTCTCTTGCAGACTGAGATGATGCTACGCTAAGGGCTTCGCTAGGGGCTCTCCTCTTGTACTTACTGTACTGGGACAGTTCTTTCACAAACAGAGATAAGAGATGCGCAGTGTCCAATAAAAAAAGTTGCCGAAATCAGTGTTTGAATTGCAATCTGTTCAGAAATCACACTAATTGCGAACTTTGACCCTCAAAATGAGGCGCCCTTGCAGGGTTTTGAGATATTTCACAAAGATACATCAAGACATTGAAACACACGAACCCCTGAAAAGGTTCACAAATTCATGATGATGGCTGGTTGAAGCCAATGATGAAATCTGTGAACGCTCCAGCGCTCCTCAACGCGACCACGTTTATGCCTACGGACCGAAAACTGAGGTCGCGAAACGCTTCTTTTTCGAGTCGGAGGTTCTTGATGCTACGCTGATGATGGGGTGGGGTGGTGTGGGGTGGGGCATGTTAACGTTCGTGTGAACTTGCTGAGGTTCTTGATGCTACGCTGATGATGGGGTGGGAATGGAGTTTCATCCACACGTACAAAAACTTGGCGAAAGCCACGGTGTCCAACTGCAAGAGATGTAAAAATGACGGTGCGGACAGCTGAGCATGCCTGAACTTGTTTGAAGCAGAAATTGCGTTTCGCCTAGGCGAAATACGCATTTATCTAAAAAAAACACCAAATTCAGACGTCTGAATTTCAGAGTTTTTGTGATCGCTGAATTGTGTTTTCGCCTAGGCGAAACGATGATTTTTTGAAAAAAACAGTATTTCACGACCTCACTTTCCGGTCCGCCGGGACGTTTATGTATACATAATCACATACAATATCTTGCTATATATATATACATATGTATGTATGTAGTATGTAGTTAGTATGTATGTATGTATGTATGTATGTATGTGTATGTTATGACATAATCATCTATATACATCCCATGCGTAATGTATTATGATATATATATATAGTATTGTATAATTATATAAATTATAGATATATATAATATACGTATAATTATACATTTTATTTATATAATATATATATATATACATATATATAATATATACATATCTATATATAATATATACATATCTATATATAATATATACATATCTATCTTATAACATGCACTGTTGATTTTCGAATCCGTTCAAACCCCGTCCTTGCGCGATGCTTTCGCCTGTCCATACGGTGTCTTTGACATTGGCCACCTCCACCCAGGTCAAATTCCCCGAGAAGCTTCTGACCTCGAACACCGTCTCGACCACCTGAAGCCAACAGAAAAAATGGTGTATATCTGATTGATCTATCATGTTTTTGTGGAAATAAGAATAGATTAACAATGAAAAATGGGATATTCACCAACATATTAACTACGTATAGATTCTATAGATGTTTTTTACTTTAAACTTTATACTAGATTCTATACCAAATTATGATTTCGAAGCTTATATGTTTCTTGTATGTTCTTTGGAGGGAGCATCACAAATGAAATATGTTGACCAACAGAACAACAATGATCCAGGCATGCGATGACCTGTGCTGGGAATGAAAATGCTAGGAATGCCATGGAATGCCTAGAAAAAATGTCTCACAGTCCCAAAATCACCAGAATTGGCAAGCCTCTCATTCCAAAGGAGATTGACAAATTGAAACCAAGTTTTGGAGTACACTCCCAGGTCCCATCTCCCAAGCGCCAAACCCGGCAAACCCATGGATCCCACCTTGTTGCGGCGACTTGGATTCGTGGGTGGGAAGAAATCCACCGCTGTCACAAAGGCCTCCTTGCTGGGCGGCAGTTCAAAGCCAAACCAACAGCCGCTGCGCTGTCCAGAGCCCATGGACATGTCGATCTGTTGATCAATTGGGGAAGTGAAAGCCAGTTTGGACAACTGCGCTTCATGCTCTCCCCGATCTGTGTAGAATTTGGCAGCCACCTGTGCCAGATCAATAGAAGGAAATGCATCTGGGAAGGCGTTGATGAAATCTTGGTCTGTCATGGAGGGTGCAGCACATTGGAGGGTTGTCCCATCGCTGACAGAGACTTCACATGGCTCTCCACAAACAGTGATTTTGCTCTGAGCCGGCTGAAAGCCAAGACCGCTTCCCTGGATGGTCAGAGTCACACCTCCACCATAGCCACTGTAGAGCTGCCCGTTCACACCGCCATTGACGACGTTGACGTTTTCGACCCAAAGCCACACGTCTCTGTGTACTTCACTCGTGGCGGAACAGGTTCCACCGCCACTGGCAAAGTAACTGGTCCATCCAGCCCCAACTACTGGTGAGCTCTGACCCCTCAATCCAATCCCCACTGCCGCATCGGCATCGGAGGACTCAGACTGGCAGGATTGGCTGGGGCAGTTGGCACAGAAACCCCAACGGGCCTTGTTGTAGTCAGGACATTCCACGTTGAAGCCCGGAAAGAGCATAGGGCAAGCACGGTAGGAGCCGGGGGTGGCACCCAGTGCCTGAATCAAGCCCGCTTGATCCACTCGAGGGTCTCGAATGTAGCCAGCCGAAAAAATGTCTTTGGCACTGGACCATTCCACATCAAAGCTGTGATGAACACATTTGCCGTTGGAACTGCCAACGCAGGCACGGAGCCGCTTGAAGGGGGTGTCCAAAAATGCCTGGTATTTGGCATTGTCAGGCATATCTTCGGGGGAATCTGGGTTCAACAGCTCAGTATTGGTCCACAACTCGGACTCATATCCCAGCACTCCTCCTTGCGAGATTTTCATCACAAGAATCCATGGCTCTGATGCAGTGGTGGCCGACACCGTGATGCCATTAGACTCAACCGAGGTAACCGTCAAGTCAACCCACACCTGAGCGGGTGCAGGATTGGACCAGCCACTTGTCTCTGAATGGACCCTGACCTGCCAAACGCCGGAAGGCAAGTCTGGCCTGGTGCAAACAATCTGGGTATCACTCCAAGTTGTCACAGTGCATTGGAAGTTCGTAGAGGGGTTGCTGGCAGTTCCCAGCGTCACCGTTCCTACACTGCCAAACCTAGCTCCATCAAGTTCAAGCACCGGGCCTGTCTCTGTCAAGTTCTCAATATAGGGAGAAGTGGCGGGATCATCATAGGTGTAAGTCAGGGTGGGCAGGTCCTCATATTCCCCATGAGACAAGGCGGAGCTGGGGACAGTGATCAGCTGTCCACCCGTGTCTGGACCGCTGTACTGCAATCTCAGTCCAGCTGAACCCCCGCCCTCAAAGTGGAGGATCGTGATTCTGTTGAAGCTATTGCCCTGCAAGTCAATCGGCAGGGAGCTACGCGTCCTCATGGAATGAGTTCCATCATTATCAATGACCATGGCACCGTTGAAGTACAACTTGCTTCCATCATCCGAGGCCAAGAAGAAGGTATATTGGCCAGTCGTTCTGATGCTCACAAAGCCCGTCAATCTCACTGCAAAGTTATCACTGTCGATCATGCCGGTGAACCACTCACTGCTAGTGCTGGGATGGTCTACCATGGCTTCAATGCGTTTTTGATCTGGAAGTCGCCCATCGAGGTTCGGCAGAGTACCGCTCTGAGCGAAGTAGAAATACTCCGCAATCAACCCCGGCTGTGAGGAAACTTGCGCCGACAAGACCTGCACTTTCACTTCCTGCGTCCTGCCATTGAGGGGCACACGAAATTGCGGAACCATCGATCCCAAACAGCAAAATTAGATCGTTTCCAATTTTCTTCGGTTACCTTGCACTTCAACGGAGTTGCGAGTACTTTCAATATCTTTCAATTTCGCATGCATGGGGTCTATTTGCTCAAGTTCTGGGAACACCTTCAATCATTCCATTGAATCGGCAGTGTATGTATGTATATATATATATACATATATATATATATCATATATATAATATATATATATCATATATATCTGTGTGTGATCACTTCCCCCCATTCACTGCATCATCCATTGTTCATCATTGTTCCACTTTTCAGGTCTTCGAATATCTTCGATCTTCCCGGTCCTCATCGAAACATTGGCGTCCGCCAGCTCCAGAGGTGCTGAAGGTGTGTAGCACTGAATCTGGTCATTGCTGGCTGAGGTCACCTCGCAAGGATATCCCCCCACTGTGGCATAGTTCATGTCCGCCGTGGGTCCCAGACCTGCCCCACTGATGGACACCAGGGTTCCACCATAGAAGGAGCCTGAACTCGCAGTTATCCGATGGAGTTGCAAGGTCTGTTTGAAGCTAAAGCTGGCACCAGTATGTGGAGATCCTCCAATGGCATAACCTGTCTGGGTCAGCACATAGACGGGCGTTTCCGAGGCTTCAAAGGAGCAAAGGGGCACAGTAATCGTCCATCTCCCAGGCTTTGGACTGGTCACAACGGGGTTGGGACACTCGAAGGGACCGAAGAAGACTTGCACATCCTGAGGCATGTGAGACTGCGCAACTGTGATAATCACGTTGACCCCATCAGCATAAGAGCCGCTAAGAGGTTGGACATCCTCAACAAAGGGTGTGGCTTCATCCGTCAAGTTCATCCCACATCCTCCCACGACTTTGCAAGTGGGCATCACTCCGTTCAACATCAGAGACAAAGTAAGTTGCTCGATCTTGCTTTCGCTGTCATCCGTCTCGTTGGTGCTGTTGTCATCACTCACGTCCCCTGCAAAACTCGACAGAAGTCGTTGCAGGTCTGGGACATCTGAGTCCTCGGAGATCTCTCCATTTGTGACCTCCGAGCTTTTCTTCATTGAGCGAGCTCCATGGAAATGTTTGGTCCGCATGTGCATCAAGCGGTAGTCTTCTGCCTTTCAACATGGAACTCTGGAGGGAAGAGCGATATGTCCAAAACTTGAAAATCCAAAAAAAAAAAATACACCTAAATGGTCAAGGACTGGCTATGATAGCAATGGTTGGGATATTCTTGGACATGCCCAAACAGCAGCAAGAGAAACATCAAGGCATGGCATCAACGAGCCTCGTCGCTGGCAACACCCCAGCGCGGTAGACCCTGGAAGTCCGCCACTCTCTGCAGGGTGCTCGCGTCTTCCAGTCGCCTCGCTGGCTCTCCATCTTCCGTGTCAGGTCCTGATCCATGGAATCCATGGAACCCATGGAACCACGGGGGAAATATTGGCTGCAGCGGTAACTCAGCTCCGCACCAAACACAAACGCATCATCCGGCACGGCGTCCAGGTTGTAGACTGGATCCAGCATCCTTCCCTGGTCACCTGGCCAAATGTCCGCAATATACCCAGTTTTGTGTGGTCAAAATTGGGCTCAAAAGAAATGATGGTCAAAAGAAGTAAAGTGACTACTTCATGTTACCATCTTATCTCTTGGATCAATCGCTCCCGCCTTCCAATTCGGAGCGTCGAATCCAATCCAACATGTCGCCCGTGCGCCCTGGCGAAAGGTGCTGTGGTTTCCATAGTCATTCGGGGGACCGCCAAGACACTCAGCAAACCATTGGTCTTGGGCGGGTAGAACATCCTGGTTTGGCATCTTTCCCAGTTTGTGCCAATTTACTCTAATTTGATGAATCCAAATACCAGGTTGAGTTGGTTGGACCCATATATTTCTCCATGGCTCAATCTTCTTCCCATATCTGTTGCTTGGGTATGAGTCAAAACCCTGGTACCTAGGGTACGCTCCAGCTGGTAAGTGATGTCAAGCCTGCATCAATAAACATTGACTGGGAAAATTGTGGCTTTACTTTTATAATTGGTCCCCCTGCTAATAAATTGGTCGTCCAGATTTATATTCTTGTTCTATATCCCGCTAATATCCTACTATTCTCAAAAAGATATTGATGTGTCTGAAAATGTGTGGGAAAAAAAACGACCGGTTCATCATCATTTTCCCGATTTCAATAGCTATTTTTCCGTTCACACCTTGCTGCACACCCAAGCCCAGCCCCACGCACTTTAAATAGCCATTTTGTGGGTCAGGCTATAAATCCCATGATTTATATCTTCATTAAGCCCAAGCCAATATTTTTTTGGTGGCTGATCAACGCTGAATATTCCACTATCCCATTGTTTGTCTCATTATTATCTCACTAGTAGCCCACTGTTATCCCCAACAAAAAAAAAGGCACCAGCGGCCTCCAATGGTGTTGGAAGGCAAGGATCGAAGACTTCCAGCTCTAGCCGCAGCCAGGGCAAAACATCTCACCTAGAAACCGCCGAGGGCAAAAGCCACAGGTTGACCATCTTTTATCCACAATACATAAAGTATATATAAATAATATGTATTGGTATTATATATATAATATGGATTATATATTAATATAATATGGATTATATAATATATGATATGGATTAAATTATATATATATACATACAATTTGTCTCATAAATAATATGTATTATTTCAGGTACAGTCGTTGGTTTATCTGTAATCTTAGACTCTTCTAATAGAATCAACTGAATCCCACGGTGTGGAACTCCGATTGCGCACCTTCGAGTGGTCATTACCTCCAGCATGACAGCGCAGCTTAGAGCCTTGCGACCTGAGGTTGTTTCCGACAAAAACATGATTTTTCATGGGATTTCATGCTGATATTTTATACGATACAACCAACCATATAATGAGTTGATATCATTTGGGTGTCTCTGAGAATGGGGTCCACCTGAAAATGGCAGTTGCATGCGGAAATTGATCATTGACCACTGGAATTTGGAATTCCATATTTTCGGACAAATCCAGATGGGAATTGATTTCAGAGACATGGGTCCCACCCACATGGCTAGCAGATGGGATTCTCCGGGGATTAGGTGCGGGTAAGACCTGTAAGTCAGGACCCTACAGGGCTCAGAGATTAAACTATTTGAAGGTGATCTGAGGTGGGGCTGGTCCCTTGTGCTGCGCAAGCTGAAGGGCTGGGAGCTGGGAAGATCCACAGAATTGGATTGGGTAAGAAGATGCTATTACCATCTGGTAAACTAACATAGCCATGGAAAATCACCATTTTTAATAGGTAAACCATCTATTTCTATGGGCCATTTTCCATGGCTATGTTAAATAACCAGAGGGTAATTGTGTCTGATAATAATAACTTATAACTCTGGCCGTGCAACCTGCAGGGCTGATAGGGCTGGGAAATAGGACGATCTAGAGGAAGGGGAGTTCCGCATTGCCTGTAGATTGGCAGCCTACAGAGGTCAGAGTGGAGGCGAGGTTGCGCAAACCTGTAGGTTGGTAGCCTACAGGGCGTTTGGGAAGGCCTCAGGGTGGTGGAGTAAGCGCGACCCGGAGGGTTGGAAAATGGGAAGATCTAGAGTGAGGGTTGGGGAAGGCCTGCATGTTGGCAACCTACAGGGCTCAAGATGGAGGCGAGGTTGCGCGACCTGCAGGGCTGGGAGATGGGAAGATCTAGAGCAAGGGTTGGATAAGGCCTGTTGCTGTGGAGGGGTCAGAGGTGGGACTATCTCAGGTACAGTACTGTAACAAGGCAGCTGCCTGTCCGACAAAAGGAATACAAACATTCAGAGCCTTCAGATTGGCAACCAAGAGATGGAATCTTATTCTCCTTCAGAGTATCTCTCCCATATTCCATTGCCACGTTTGATTACCAGAGGTCATCTGTTTCCATTCTGAATCATTTTGGTGACTTGGCCCAGCGGCTGCTTGGACTCAGCGTCATCAGAAAGGCGACGCATGAACTTTTCGTCTGCGTAGAGTTTAGCAGTCTCGATGTTCTCCTGCTTTGCACCTCAGGATCCACAAAAAGTTGATTTTGGTGCCCAAAATCGAAGTAGCCCACGGAGTGTTCTGCAGTTGGCTTGGGCAGTTGAAAAGCCCATGAAAGATTTACAGACCTGTTCACTGCATCAACTGTGAATGCAAATCATGGAAGGACGTAAAACAAAGAAGAGAGTGTGAGCTCCGGTTCTGTTCAAATGTTCAGAGTCCACTTGGAAGATCCTTGCAACGACTTTTTTCCATGGAGCTGCGTAGATGTGGCGGTCTATGCGGCAAGCACTTCTCAGAGTCCCACCATTCACCAGGTTCCTTCAAGCATAGCGGCTGAGTACTGTGAGGTGATTGTCCAAGAAATCAGCCGGAAGTTTACACTGGTACACTTTCTGCACTGTCACTGCTTTGCAGATAGACTTAAAGAGTAGTGGCAGGGCGGCAAATCTCAGCTGTGCACTCGGATACAGTAATCAGTAACAAACATTGCAGTCGTTTCATTTTCAAAATCAGAGTGAGATGAAAACCAAAACAGAAAAGGGCCCTCAGCACAGTAAGATCTCACTCTAAACCCGTGCGCTTTGCATGCAATAAATGTCAACCCAGGATTAACAAAGACTGAGTTTACTTGTATGGGGAGGTTCGTTTCAGAGCTGGAATTCTCACTATTCTCACTATTTCGTGGACCCTTTTGATAAACTGGGCTTTGGAAAATCCTGGGTTTACATCATTCAGAAACAGTCTACATCTGCAGACTTTTTTTTTTTACTTTACTCTTGGATCGATTCCACCTGGCTGTTTTCTGAGAAAGGCACCAACTGTATCTATGCAGATCTACTATACTCCGGGAGAGGAGCAAATGAATAATGTGGACAGTTTCATTCAAACAGGTACTTCGAGTATCTTTCGAGTGGAATCGAAGTTCCTATTTGCATCCTTGAAAGATCATAGCAACTGTAAGCCATGGCCGCGGCGATCAGTTCCCCCGCTTTGCCACACCTGACATCCAGAGCTCAGCTTCAAGGGCTCTTTCCAATGCGTCAGTGACTGCCAGTGACGCATCAGTCTCATCCAACTGGTTTTGTCTGAAAATCGGCTACCCCATAATTTTATGGTTGATCCAATGTTTATCATTTCTTCCCCAAAAGCCCAAAAGCATTAGCAAAGGGGTCTCAGCCCGGATAAAGGTTCGCTGCGTTCGCTGCGGGTTCCGGGATGGTTCCGGTCATTTCCGGAGGTTTCCGGAGGTTCAGGTGCGGTAGGTTGAAGCTCCATTGTTCACTGGCGGCTGTCACGCCTTCCCTACCTTTGCTGTGGGCTGTGGGCTAGGAAAGTTTCAGTTCTTTGGATATTGGGGTATGCTGAGTATGCCCCATTTCAGACCCGTCCCGTGCCTTCAGGCCAGTGTGGTAGTCGAACCAACATGATGTGCTCTGACTTTCCACGTTTGGGTCGCCCGGCCTTGCCAACGACCAAATGTATGAAATTGACAACAGTGAAGTGAACCAAGAGAAAACAGAAGGAACTGGCAACTCATCTGAGTTTCCCAAAACAAAATGGGGATGCCTTTAAAAAGTGCAGTTCCAAAAATTGCAAATGATGACGCCCCACAGAAACTTTTGGACCATCTTCAAGGCTTAAACTTGTTCCAAGGAACGCGATGAATCGGTGGAAGTTTGACGCCTGGGCAAACACAGATTTCGAAACAATGTCCATAAACAAAGATTCCCCCTGGCGTTGGCAGATTTCATCGTTGCAACAAAATCAAAACTGGTCAAGGATTTCTGGATCAAGACACTCTCGCCGATCTTTGTGGCGCTGCTGCTCTGCAGTTGACCTTTGCTTTGGGCAACCATTAGGCGCTCCTTGGCGGAAGTGAGTCTCTCCAAACTTCCCAATGGATGTATATCTTTCTATGTAGATACGAATAACATAAATAAATATAATTTATATGTGTATATATATATAATTATATAATGTATATTACATGTCAATTTTATATATAATATTTCTATATAATATGATACAATATGATATATACACATATATTCTTAGGATTGGCTAAGCGGCTATTCCTTTCCAGTCCTGTCACTGACACCGCCTTTTTTATTGCAGTCCATCTGAGTCTTAGTTCTGAATCGCTCACCAGTTTCACCAGGTCACCACTGTTGCTGCCTGCGTGCGTTGTGCGCATTTCCATGCTGTGCTGCTGCATCGAAATCCCATCGAAATCCATCGAAATTCCATCAAAATCCATCAAGATCCTGGAAATGGCTTACCATTTGACAATATTTGAAATTAGAGTTTAAAGTTTTATGGGCTATGGCTATGTCTGCATCTTTAAACATGGGACACAGGCTAGCGGCTAGCACGGGCCTTGATGTTGGCCATTGAATGACCCCGGCGGGGGCTGTAGCCGCCACACACAGGGACTGGATACTCTCCGCGGCCCGTCGGAGCGCTCCCCATCAGCGCGCATTGCCCTCTCTTGCAGCCTGTGCTGTTGCGAGCCGCTGATTCCATTGAAACTCATCCACAAGAACCAGGTGCCGACCATGTTTTCATATGTTTTCCCAAAAATACCAAGAATGTCAGTCATGAAAAAATAAAAACGCAGCAGTACCACTGGCCTGGCTTTTGCAGCATATGGCTAATCCCAGGAGACGTGCCCAGGGTGTCCAAATGGTTGGCATAGAAGTGAACCGAAGGTCCCTGAGGGCAACTTTTAGGATTGACACCATGTTAGTCTCGAGGCGTGATAGGAAGATTAGAAAGTGACTCGTTTGATGATAGCAATGTTTGCGACATTCTGCGTGAAAAGCTTGATATGGAAGCTCCGAAAAGCACGGCAACTGCTTCAGCTGCGATTTTGAGAAACAAATGCCTCAAAGAGTGAAACAGTTTGAAACAGACAGTTTAAAACAGACATGCAAGTCTTTGCTTGGCTCAGGAAAGTCTGCAGAATGCGGGAGCCAGAACTTTGCCGCTCCCGGAGAAAAGCGTTGGGTCAAAGATACTTTGCTATGACCTCACCAGCATCACCATCATCAGCTGGCAGTGCTTGCATCACTCGCCAGTGAATCCTTGGAGCTCTCGTTGCCGGATTTCTGCAGCCGTCGTTTGCAGCTCCGCTTGCACGCCCTTCGTCGCAGGCGTCGGAGCCACCGGGGCAACGGTGGCCATCGCTTCGGATGAGCCGCATGCCTCCTGCGGGAGGGTGGCGCATCTTCGTGGGGATGGGTGCAGGGGCATGGACACAGCTCCCCAGTGCTGGAAGGGCACTCGCCCAAGGTCAGGGCTTTATACTTGTTTTCCCATTGCTCCGAAAACCACTGGTGCTGCTTTTCAGTGATGCAACCAATCAGCCGTTCAAATTGCCAAAGTAGGAAGGCAAGACCAAAGTACACCACGCAGAAGGTCCGGCGCGCCATTGGCACAACCACCATGACCACGAGCATAGGCAAGAGGATCGTACGCTGAACGGCACGTCGGTAGAGCCAGCGCTTTCGAACGATTCCGAATCGAAGTAAGATGTCAAAGGCAATCAAAGCTGCGATCCCCAGAAGAACACATGCGATACCTTGGGCATCTGCCCTTTTCACCAATACAGACCCCATAAAAAGCGAGGAAGCAGCACCCTGCCAAAGCATCAGGTCGGTATTCAACATGTGTTTCACACTTCGGAACCAGTGCTGTTGCATATTGATCTCCTCCTGCAATCCAACAGTCTCCAAAAGCCATCGCACGATTTTGCCCGCACCACAACAGATTCCAAGACACCTGAAGATCACAACCAAGCGCAGTACATTTGCCAGCAGCAGGTTTGTGCACTCCTTGGCAGCATGATAGTAAAAGTCGAACCATCGAACTTGTCTTCCTGACCAGTAGACCCACCACTCGCAAATATCTTGCGATGGTCGGACTCGGGGCATAGTCTTCGCAGGCGGTTGCAGATTGTAAGATACAAAGCGGGCACTAATTGCACTGACCTGGGGTGATCATCAAAAAAGCGCTCTGAGTCAGAAAAGTCAGCAACATTAAAATTGATGGACAAACCTTAGGCATTCACTTTCAGAAAAATGTGATTGTTCGTGCGAAAACCGAAAGCCCTTCTATTTCTCGGCCTACACTCTTGGACTCAGAACACCCGTCCTGCTGCGCACAGTTCGCCAACAGCAGCAGCGGTGGATTTCTTGGAAGTTGCGCTTCCACGGTGCGGAGCAGCACCAGTAGCACCGCATAGACAAGTGCAAAAGGTGGCACGATGAAGGTGCGAGCCAGGTAATGAATCAGCAAGGCATTGGGCAACGTTCGGAGCAACAACAGCAGACTGTCCGAATCCGTGACAACGGTGCGAACCCATCCGTCCAAGAGGAGCTTCCAAAAATTGTCCTCATTGCTGCAGCTGGTCATCAAGACATCCTTGAAGTGATAGAAGAGAAGCGTATCAGTCCACGCCAGCCAATCTTGAAACCATCGGATGGCTGGACAAATATCAGATCTCCGTAGGTAGTCCTTGTCCACATAGTCATTGAGGCCGCTAATGAGCATGTACGCAGCAAAGCCAATGAGGAGTTCATCCAGTAAGGGCGTCAGGATTCTCAGGCCTTTTCCCTCATCTTTCACAATCTGCTCCAAGGAATGCAACTCGTTACAGCCACCAGGGTGGTGCCATCTGCCAGAGCAAGCGTGGCAAAGGTAGGCTTCGCAGTCCACACAGTAGACATCTGCTTCCATACCTGCGTTGTCTCCACATTTGTCACACCATGCACCATCAGAGTAGTAAGTTCCATCATCTTCGATCGCCCGGCTGCCACGGCCCAGCATCACCGAATACAGCAGGGAGATACTCCACTCCTTGTCGTCCGAATCACTCTCATTCCACTCATCATCGCTGCGGGACCAAAGGGCCCCCATCCTGTCTGTAGGACGCTGTTTGGGAGCTGAAACTGCGGAGTCTGGCGAGTCTGGCATGAGCCACAACCTTGATGTCAACACCCAAAGTTTCTTGCCAAGCTGGACTGACTAACATCTATGCAAAAGATTCTCAACACTAAAGTCACTAAACGCTGGGATGATAGAAATTGGCTTCTAAGCACTGCAATATGCCTCAGCCAATACTACTTCCTCCAAAGAAAACCATCCCACTCCGACTCACAACTGTGGCTCCAGATGGCTCCAGCCTGCAGTGGTTGCAGGGCCGGTCCCTTTCCTGCAATGGAGGCTCTGTAAATATGCCTTGCCGTGAAGCTGAGGCACCCCTGAGGCACCCGTCAACAACTCACATTAGCTGTTCCCAGAAGTGGTTGAAGGGAAAATCATGGAAAATCTATAGGAGACTCCCAGCTATGTTGATTGGAAAAATCCCAGATCTTGTTTACATCTGGCAAAACATCTGGCAAAAGATATATTCCGATCTACAAACAGAAATGAAGATAAATCAATGGTGACGTAATTTAACCAAGAACGAGGTTTTCCATTTCTTCCCCACAGGTTTGCCCAAAACCCACTGATCAACGGGCACCTGCGGCAGCCGCGGTCGGAATCGGCCGAGACCAAGGGCCGCACTTCAGGCACCGGGATGAAGACCATCGCCAAGCTGAGATCTGTATGGAACTGACATGTGAAGCCAACTGGGTTTATGGTGGTTAGTAAACAGTTTTACAGTCCTGGAGTCCTGTGGCTGCCAGATGAGTTTACATGGCTTACTAACATGTTGATGTGTTGATGTGTTGATGTTTACTGGCTTGGTTTACTGTGTACATTGTTTACCTGATCGAAAAGTCCAAAAAGGACAGACCATTGGAGAAATGTGTGTTCCGAACAACATGATTTTCCATCATACGGGGAGTTTTTTTGAACCAATCCTGCATTTTCGGTCTGAAAAATCATGATGGGGTGCAGCCATTCCGGACCGGCTTTCCATGCAGGGCTTGTGATGCGTGTGGGAACCTGCTGAAGGCACCCATGGTCTACCATAGGCATTGGCACCCTAACAACATGCTGCGTGTGTCTTCCTCGTGGTCTCTCCATAGGGCCCTAGCTGAACCAAAAGCTGTAGAGGCTGAAGCGTGGGAGGGACCCATTCCAAGGAACAGGCGCCAGGCAAACTTCCCATGGCCAAGGCCTGAATGCCATGAGTCTTGCTGAGTCTTGCTGGGACACGCACCACCTTTCAAACGGCAAGTGAGCGACGTTGGAGTTCCGCTCAACACCTGCCATGTCGAGCTTCTACACACAGAGGTTGGCAACTCAACTCTTAGTCTTTGGGACTCTGCCCGTCTGCCCGTGCAAAATCAGGGATACCTTCAAATGATTCAAAGCTCAAGGCCTCGCAAGGTCTCAGCATGCCATCCACAAGCTCAAAGTTGATCTGAGGCGGGAGCCAGGTGCGTCAGCAAAGCCATCTCCAAATATTTTCAAGATTGCCATTGAGACAACTCCGTAAAAATTGATAAAACCACGGTAGAGAACATCAGTGGATCAATCATCTAGCTGGAAGATGGGCGTATGAATTTCACTTTCATAGGTGGCTTCGGCAAATTGACAAAGCCTTCGATGTCTTAAAGTTGATCGGTTCTCCAAGACTCGGACCAAATGCTTGGAAGCGTTTGTTGGATGGAAGCCAGCTCCAGTGATAGTCACAATGACGCCACCAGCCTCAAACCAACACGGCCAAGGTCTTGGGTTCTGACATTTCGCACGCATTCGTATCAGCAACTGATGATGCTTTGTGTCTCTTTCAACCCTGCCAGAGACTATGGCAAAGAGAATCAACTTGACTAGTATCCAGTGCAAATAAATTGTGTGTATATATTATATGAATTTATATGACATCATATGAATATATATATATATTCACATATGTCTATGTATGGGGTGTTTCAATGCCCATGAAAACTATGCTACTCAATGGGGATCATCATCCCCAATCGACTGGAAAGTTTGTCGATTGTCCATTTCCTTGCCTTCGAAGCAACCAGTGGAGAGATCCCCGTGACCTGCCACAGTGGCTAGGAAACAGGATATGGCTGGTGTTTTTTTCGACACATCGGGGGATACCCCGAAAAAATTGCACGCCTAGTGATTTTTTTGAAGATGGTGAACTGATGTGAACTGTACAATCAGCCGTTGAAAGCAAGATGATGAACCGTGGCATTTTTGGGAAGTTTTCCCCACAAATTTTCATGACACAAAAAGCTGCCAAAGTTTGGCCTCAAAGCGAGACTCGAAGGTCACTCCGCTCACTGCTGCAAAACCCTTGCCAGGAATCCAAGCCTCGTGCCACGACAAATGTGATGAAACCATGGAAGGCATTGGAAGTTTGAGATGTCTTTTAACCAGGGTAGGTTCCCAGCTCCTACAATGGAATCACCATATGATGGACAACCTGCTGAGGGAACTTTTGGAAACACCCATCTCTCTGAACATGTTAACTCGCAAAGCGCAAGCCGGGGCAGAAATATCTGGAAGCATGAGTCACCTATGGTTTCAAGCCCAATTTAAGAAGTAACCCCCATGAAAATATCATCGAACATTGGTTACTGGAAAAACTACCCTCTGGTAATTTAACATAACTATGGAAAATCACCATTTTTAATGGGAAAAACTAACACCATACCAACGGCTCCGGTTTTTTTTCGTGCTGAGTCGCCGATGGCACCACGATCGCCTCCAATGGTGGCGTTGGTGCTGCCTTGGAGCGCGACGATCGGGGCTTCACTGGGTGAGATGGGACAACTTACTACTGTAATCTACTGTATACCATCAATTTTGCAGGTTAAAACCTATTAAACCCCAAAAAATGAGGGGGTATTATTTATATGTATATATATACATATACACACACTATTATACCATATTTGGCAATGGATTGAAACTTTGGTGCCCCAATGAGGTCTTGGATTTTGACCCTGGGTGTCCGAGCTCTGATCAACCACACTGCCAGGGAGGTATCATCCTGGACCGTGGACTCGACACCATGACCACATGGGGGTTTCCAATCCATGGGGGTTACCCCAATAGCTGGATGCTTTATGATGGTTTAATCATGGTTTACAACGGAAAACCCTCAGAAAAATATGGATGATTTGCAGGTACCCACCTGCTTCGGGTGAAAGTTGTGTTTTCTGTGTCGCTCCTGGGACGTCACCTCTCCCATTCGAGCGCCAAATTGGACAATGGGAAGAGCCTGGGAGGCGATGACGTGGCAATGTGGTTTCTGACAAGCTCTGTACTCAGCTAGCCTCCATCACAGCCAAGGCACTGTTTTCCCAGCTCCGTTGCTAAAGCCACCTGAGAAAAAATTGGATGACTTATGATGACTTATTCCCAGTGGGCCTTGGGCCAAGTGGGTCAAAAACTTGGTATATCTTGGTATCCTATACTGGGGCAACTTGTGTAAATCATTTTTAAAAAAACTACAGAGGTCCTGTTATATAACCAGAACTTTGCTGTTGAGGTCCTTATGGGTCTACAACGTTGACCCATCCCCCAATTCATGTCCTCTGTCAAGCCACTGCCGCTGAGGGTGATGGTGGTGCTGAGAGCCGATGAGTAGAAGGTGGGGCTCACTGCACTCAACCTGAGAACCCTCGAGCGCACTGCACAGTGAACCTGTCATCCCCAACTCTACTGCTTGGTTGAGGCCAAGATTCTCAGCAAACCGGTTCGTACAACGCTATATAGTGATGGTATAACCCCACTACTCCGCATCAACCGACAAAGGTCAACTGAACATTGCGCAAGTGTTGACCATTTGAGCATCCTGCAGTGGGGTTGAGGCAGATTCATAGGTGAAGGTAGCAAGCACCTGGCACTGTACAGTTCGCCCAAACACCAAAGAATTGGTGGCAGATTTTGGTCATCAGCAGAAAAATATGCCATTTGTCTCCAACATGGCCGGGCCCACCACAGTGTTGCCCGGCGGTTGCGCCAGAGTGATCTCGCCATCCCTGGTCACCAATGGGGAGACATTCAACCAATCCATGCACCACAAAAACTGATTGGTCCATTGATGGCGAAGTCGGCGAAGTCATTGTTGTCTCTTGCCCAGAAGACCAGGGATCTCCGAGTCTCTGGCGAAGTTGAAGGCCAGCTTGCTTGACCAGACAGGGAAGGATCAAAGCCTTAGGGGAAGCCATGACCCGAACCGTTGACAGGTCGTGTCCTCGACATTGCACGTCGGCTCTGAGTCTCTTGCCGCTCAGTGCAGGTGTTAGACAAACCAGAGAGGCGCTACTCATGACCTGCCAGCACAGCATGGTGCAAGATGCGAGCTTTGAACTAAGAGTGAACAATCAACTGGATTCTAAAACCAATTCAAGGCTTCTTTTATTTTGTCTTGAATTCACTTCTTCCACTGACTTCTAGAGGGGTTATCGCAAGGAAAAATGCTAAGCAGATTCCTTTGCATGCCTCAATCTTGCTGGCCGCCAGGTCAGTGCAAGCCACTCCAGCAACCAACAGGTCGGAACAGGGCCTGAGAATTTCAGAAAATGGCTACCCTTTGGCCATCAAACTTGGCTGGAGAATCACCCATTGATAGAGGATTTCCTACAATCCCTGATGCTCTCGGGAAGAGTCATCGCCTCCAGACTCTGGGGTGTCGGCAGACCTTCTAAGCCAACACCTGTCAATTCTAGGACCTCAGCAATTCAAAGAGCTTTCTACATTCAATGGATTGAGTATATTGATGTATGTTGTGTGCAGATTGTCTGCAGATTGGGTGAAGAGTGAAGGGACAATTTTACCCGGAAGCCATGGGTTATTTTCCCATCCAATTCTGAGATCTGCGACGGTGCCGCCGGCCAACGAGCCCGTCAAGCCGCTGACCTCATATTGGAACGGGATTGGAAGCCAGACATGGCCACAGCTCAAAAAGCTCTTCAAAGTGTCTACCAAAGAAACCACAAATGTATGTGACACAGTACTGTACGTATATTATATATTATTTAGATAGCTAGATAAGAAAAAGTGAAATAAGATAGAATATGCTAAAACAAGATAAGATAGGGTAGACAGACAGATAATAAGATAGATAGGATAGATAAGATAGATGGGATAGATAAGATAGACAAGATAGACAAGATAGGCAAGGTAGATAAGATAGACAAGATACACAGATAAGATACACAGATAAGATACACAGATAAGATACACGGATAAGATACACAGATAAGATACACGGATAAGATGCACGAATAGACAGAATATAGACAGGAGATACACAGGAGATAGACAAATGGACAAACGGACAAATTGAGAGATGGAGAGATGGATAGTTGACTCGATGGATCAATGGATCGATGGCCAGATGGTTGGTGGTTTTTTCATGGACGGATGGATGGTGGATGGACAGACAAGGTCTGATCTGAATCTGTAGATCCACATCCCAACGGTTGCTGCGGGGGCCCGGCAGTATCTACCACAGCTTCCACTGAGATACTTGGTGCCTGCCGGCGACATCATGGTCACAAACGGCTATGGGTCAAAATTGACCACCCAACAAGAATGGTCTCATGTTTTTTACTATTCACTTTTATACCTTTTATCAATGACCAAATTCACTAGTTCCCAAGTTATATATATCAAATGTATTGACCCATACAAGGTCCGTCATCCCCAATGCTTCCAAACTGATGCAACTTACTATGACACAGGGCCTGTGCAGGGTCAGCCTGCCCCTGTGTGATGGACACCAAATGGACGGTGTGCCTTGGTCAACCACGTTGCCGAGGGCAGAGTAGAAAAAAAAATCAAGGGATGATCAAAAAATACCAGCTACCCATGGTTCACCATAGATTTTGACCCATCCCCAGTTGTCTGCACTGCTAAGAAGTCTCTTAAGTCTGCAGCATGCCAGCGACGACATTCTGAAGCCTTGCCGCAAAGCTAAAGGAGTAACCAGCCATGACAGCTATGATTGGGTCAGGAGGCAAATAAGGGACTGGCACGCAAGTGAGGGTGATGCCATCGGTGTCTACTGAAACTTCTTGCGTGTCCTGATGCTGAGCAGAGGATCTTTGACATGTCTGCACTGGGTCCAGTTCCCTTGACTGGCCGTAGACAAACAGAACCTCCGCTGTTCTGCACTGATGGGAGCCAGATTACGCAACTATAATGGAGCAAATGAAAGCAAACCTACGCAGCAAACTGCAATCTCTCCTCGCAAGTGCCAACGTTGTCTCCCAGCACCACGATCACATCCTCTCACATCATCACTCCATTGGAAACGCAAGCTAAGGCATCCATGACCGAGTCTTAAGTTTTCAAACATCCAAATTCATTTTTTGTCTTCGAGCCATGTAATAGCCTCATCCTCATCCTCGTCCTCGTCATCATCATCATCATCATCATCATCATCATCATCATCATCATCATCATCATCATCATCGACCAGCATCATCAGCATCAGCATCATCATCATCATCATCATCATCATCACCAAGACCAGCATCATCAGCATCAGCATCGGCATCATCGTCATCATCATCATCATCACCATCATCATCATCATCATCATCACCAAGACCAGCATCAGCATCAGCAGCATCAGCATCAGCATCAGCATCATTGTCGTCATCATCATCACCACCACCAGCAGCATCAGCATCAGCATCATCCTCATCATCATCATCATCATCACGACCAGCATCATCAGCACCAGCATCAGCACAATAATCATCATCATCCTCATCATCATCATCATCACCAAGACCAGCATCATCATCATCATCATCACCATCATCATCATCATCATCACCATCATCATCACCATCATCATCATCATCATCGCCAAGACCAGCATCATCACCAAGACCAGCATCATCAGCATCATCCTCATCCTCATCATCATCATCATCATCATCATCATCACGACCAGCATCATCAGCATCAGCATCAGCATCAGCATCATGATCATAATAATAATAATCATCATAATCATCATCATCATCATGATCATCATTATTATCCTCCTCGTCACCATGATCTTCATCGATGTTCAAAAAAAACATTGCCTATGCCTGGGCAGACCCTTCCAGAAATTCTGCCGGAACGGTCCTTTGTCCAATTTCCTCCACTGGTGCTGTCATACGCCGTCATGTTGTTTACCACCAAGGTCCTCAGTAAATGAGTTTCTGAGACTAGAAGTGAATAGCACACTTTATCCTACAAATGAGTTTGTCTGAAAATGGGGTGTGTCCCAGTTTCTGCTCATTTCTTCATCGGGAAAACGCTGCTCAACCACTGGATTTGGGAGTACCCATTGGTACCCTATTTTTGGACAAACCCACATTTGAAGAATCACGAACATCAAAGCACAAGTGAAGCAATTCCTTTTAGCCCACGACAGTGTTCCGTTGGAACCAACCACAGTTGGAGTCACACTCAGCAGGACTGGCACCAAAGCGCTCGAATACTTGTATCCTTGGCAACCATATACACAAGCTACAAGACTGAATTTCGTTGTGCTTGGCCTGAAGAGTGAACTGCAGGGATGTGTTATTGCACATTATGTGTCACAAGTACCAGTTTTCAAGCCATTTTTAGGATGTTTCCAGGTCCTCTTAGGTTGCTACAAAATCTTGCAGAACTGTGAAGTCATACCGTCGCAGCTCACTGTTGCAGCGCATTGACACGCAATGGCACAACTGGGATCCTTGCCAAGTACGCTGTTCCCTCCAATCCCACCAACAATGCCATTCACCACCAATCGAACCGGCAGTACTTCAGGATCAGCTGGGTAAGGTGCCTTCCATCAGCTCAACTCCACCAACAGCCTTTTTTTTTCGGGGTATCATGGGTGAACGAACTTAAAACCAACCAAAATGGGAAGATTGATCAAAGAAAATTCTGGGGATGCTGACTGGTAGCTGGTTGCATCACGGGTGGTCCCAGAAACATTCGTTGGTTGCAGTTTACAAGTCGAAGCGTGCCTCAAACATATCTGCAGGTACCTCGATTGCATCTCCCAGCAGACTGCAACAATCTGCCAGTTTGCCAGTTCATGGCCTACTTGTACAATTGTTCTTAGTTCAAGACCCGCTCTATGAAAATCGCATCTGAATCACCATCTTCCACAGGGTATACCTGTCAAGCCAGTTGACCGGCGGTGGCTTCAAGGTTCAAGCTGCAAGCAAAATGGCAACATGTCACCCTGCCCTGATTGATTTGCAGAGCTGCCACCAACCCTGACAGCCTCCAATTTGAAGCCCGTTCCTTCTAGTCCTAGCCCAACACATCTTGGCACAAACCACCAAGAGCCATTTTAACAGCATGCTGCAAAGAATCTATGTCTGGCCCTGGAACACCTTGTCAAAAATGCTGCACACTGGACGCTGGCTCCTGTTCTGTTGACTTCAAGTAGTGGCACATTTCCCAAAGGCCGGCGGAACCGCACAAGTACTTGGAATGATTCGCCTCATCACCACGCAAATGCACTGTCAAAACAAGTGAGGAAAAAGAACTCCAGCTGGGAATCCCAACCACTACTCCATCCATCAGGATGTTTCCAGCACCTGGGCAAAATACCAAGGTTGCGCAACCTACAACAAGTGGTATGGGATGGTATGGCTCATCTGTGGCTCCGGTGTCTTCAATTTTGACCCATACCACAAATCATCTCTCACTCAGCTGGGTATGGCTAAATCTTGATCAACTCGACTCCCACAAAGTGGGTGCTGCATTTATCACTTATTATTCTGATTAATATCATCATCATCATCATCATCATCATCATCACTATTACAACTATTACAACTATTACTACTATTACTACTATTACTACTATTATTACTATTATTACTATTGTTATTAATATTACTATTACTACTATTATTACTATTATTGCTATTAATACTATTATTACTATTATTAATATTATTACTATTACTACTACTATATATTACTATTATTAATATTATTACTATTATTGCTATCATTACTATTATTTTTGTTATTCTTACGCTTCTTATTATTGTTGTTATCATCGTTATACTGGGTAGTTTTTTTTGATCTCCGTCGTGGCGGAACGGAATGGAACCGAGCTCTGGAACCCCAGAAAGCTATGCCCAACAGCGGGAGATAGCTTCTGAGTTTTTGCCATAAAAAGTGCTTATACCATTTTAAAAAAAAATAAGCGCTTATGCAATAAAGTTCTTATGCTTATGCCATTAAAAAAAAAAAACATCGGAACCCTTTTGAATTTTACAAAGCATCTACACCAGAACCCTTCGGAACTTCACAAGGCATCTGCACTGGAACCCTCCGGAACCTCACCGAATCTTCTCCGCCAAAACCCTCCGGAATCTCACAAGGTCTCTGCCCCGGAACCCTCCGGAACCTCACCACGCATCTTCACCTAGACCCTCCGGAACCTCATCAGGTAGCTGCACCGGAAACTTCCGGAACCTCACAAGATATCTTCACCGGAACCCCCGGAGCTTCAGCAGGTATCTTCACCGGAACCCTCCGGAACCTCACGAGGTATCTGCACCAGAAACCTCCGGAACCTTGTCCGGAACCTGGTGTTGAAGCTGCACCGGATCGCACCGGAGCTAATCTGGGCTAAAGACCCCATAGCAAAGTTTTGCTGTTGGGGAAAAATGACCCGCCATTTGTGGCTCCGTGAACGCCTCAAGTTCCAGTTGGCCACGAGGTCCCGGCTCCAGTTCCAGTTCACCGTTCTCATGGCCCGGTGCTCTGCGGATGTCCGCAATCTGCCGGGTCAGAGAGCTCCAGCTGGTAGTGGCAGAGCGAGCCTGAGATCAGGTTGGGGGTCCCCAATCAATTGGACATGAGACAAATTGGATGGTTTCGGGATATAGCTAGAGCAGGTTCCCTAAGAATTCATAAAACATTTGATGGTTGATCCGAAAATGACACATGAAACATGGTATGTGGTCCCTGAACCCTTAGTTGGACCCACACACACACACACAGACAGAGATATATATATATGCCAGAAACCACATTGCACTCACCTTCCTAGTCACCATGGCTCCCGCCACGCCTGGATGGGACTGCTCCATGTTCCACTGTGCCCCACTTGAAAGGTGCCGCTCAGTGGAGCTGTCGCCTTCGCGGGTAGGTTGCATCAACTAACCCAGTCTCAGCCGGGCAGCTGCACCTGTTGTGATTGGCCGGCAGTAGCACCACCCATTCCAGCTGCCACGATGCTGATCCTCATGCTGAATGATGCTGAATGCAATGTGCTTGACGAAGGCTTTTTACTGGCACTACTTGCCTACTTGCTGAGCTGGCTGCGAAACCCACCGTTCGGTGCTGGCCTGCTGCAAGTGCACCAAGGTTGTGCAAGGTGCTTTTCAAAATCCACCCAATTTGCAATGTGTCATCCAACCTCAAGACCTAAGCTGCGTTACAGCTCTCAGCACAAACTTCACTTCAACTGTACTTCAAACTAATTATATAACCCCTCTGCTGTCATGGCCTCCAGTGGACAGTTGAATGTGAGGGTAAAGCGACGGGCATTGCCAGTCTCATTGGTGTCTACGCTCAAACTTCTGCAGTCGTGCAACCTCAGCAAAACAACTGAGGTTTTTTTCAAGAACCCCAAAATCAACAGCTGATTTAATATTTACAATATTTATAGCTCAATATTTATAAATCATCCAATTTGATTTTTGTCTCAAGAATAGCTGACAAGTGCGTCACCTGTAGGGCTCCTCTCCAGAAATGATGACCTGCACAAGGCAACACGCACCTGCGAGGTGTCGAAAAAAAGTGAACTCTCCATCTGGGCTTCGGGCTTGGGCGTCTCGAACACCATCCCTGCGGGAAGCCGAAACCACGTTGTCATCGGTTAAACTATGAGGTACCTGAAAAATCCAAGATTATTGATTACATTACAAAAAACGATAGGTATAGACGGTATAGATGTAGACATGCATTCAAATGTAGAAGTAGATATAGATTATAAATATAGAAATAGATATAGGTGTAGATATAGATACACATTATTGGTATAGATCTGGATATAGATGAAAATATGAAGTAAATATAGAGATATAGATAGATAGATAGATAGATAGATAGATGATTGATATTGATAAGATTGATATAGATATTGATATAGATAGATTGATATAGAGATAGATATGATATAGATATAGATATTGATATAGATATTGATATAGATATTGATATAGATATTGATATAGATATATTGATATTGATATAGATATTGATATAGATATTGATATAGATATTGATATAGATATTGATATAGATTGATATAGATATAGATATTGATATAGATGATATTGATATAGATTAGATATAGATATTGATATAGATATTGATATAGATATTGATATAGATATAGATATGATATTGATATGATTGATATAGATTGATATAGATATTGATATTGATATAGATATTGATATAGATATTGATATAGATATTGATAGATAGATATAGATGATATAGATATTGATATAGATGTTGATATTGATATAGATTGATATAGATATTGATATAGATATTGATATAGATATTGATATAGATATTGATATAGATATAGAGATATTGATATAGATGTTGATATTGATATAGATTTAGATATAGATATTGATATAGATATTGATATAGATATTGATATAGATATTGATATAGATATAGATGTTGATATTGATATAGATTTAGATATAGATATTGATATAGATATTGATATAGATATAGATGTTGATATTGATATAGATATTGATATAGATATAGATATTGATATAGATATTGATA